AAGACATCCTTGTACTCAGACAATAATTGAAAGTAATCATTTTCTTTTAAGGGGCTTAGGAATGCACTAATGAAAATTGGTCTGGGTTGATCATCAGTTCCTAAGTTGATTTCTTTGAGTTGATCAACGGTAGCTTGCCCCCCGTCTTCTAGTGTTGCTGGTGCTTTCTCGATGTCATCTGGTTGTTTAGCGTCAGGTTCCTCTTCAATAGTGATGTGGTATGAAGTAACACAAGATAATTCGCCAATGTCTTCCAGTCCTTTTGCTTGATTAGTGAATACAATGGTTCGCCTTCTAGCTTTTAATGTAACATCATTGGTGACATCTACCTCTGTCTTACGTTTCATTCGTGAGGGTATTAGGCTCTGAACATCACTATTATTCACCACGTCAATGCTTGTTTCCTCTGACTTCCCACTCTTGCTACTTTTCAGCGGTGCATCATTGATAGTACCAATTCGAGAAAATACTAACTTTCGAGGTTGAGGTTGTGGAGATTTTCTTCCTTGGTCATGAAAGCTCATTCTGTTAAAAATAGAGGCACGAGGCAAACTGCTGACATGAGAACTTGAAACATTTGATTCTTGGCTTGACCACCTGTTGAATACAGATATTCGATCACATGGACCTCCAATACGGTCGAAGACTGATTTTTGATTTATAGTCTGTTGATCTTGTTCATCCGCAACTTCTTCAAACCCAATGTAAAAAGTGTTTGACTTCTTATCTTTTTTTGTGATGTGAATTCGAAGTGGCTCAGAAGGTACAAAACCGATACCAGACTTGGGTGGAATGATTTTATGCCCTTCATCTTTCAACTTCTTCTGTGTCTCATTGAGGCCATGCATTTTCTCACCGGTGACCTCTGAATTCAGTTTTCCAAGGTTTGCAGGATTTGTAAAATCATACATCGACTTAGTCATGAGTTGGTATGCTTTAGGATCGAATCCTTCATCAGTTCTTTGTTTTGGAAGTGATCCATGCCCTTTTAACGGAGGCTTGGAAGGCAAAGACTTTTGAATCTTGATGAGAGGAAGAGTTAACTCTCCTTGCAGCTTTTACATATCTTCTTTTTCCTTGGTTTGTGACATCTTCAATTTAAATTCCTTGGTTTCAATTATCTCGATGACAGGTGACTGCCTTTCTTGTCGTTGAGATTTTGGAACATACTTTAAAATAGGCTTCGTCCGATGTGCTTTTATTGAGACCCCTCGCGTTTTAGCTACCTTTACAATGTCTGTCACTGAAACATCTAATGGATCACTTAACGCTTCTTTTGTTTTTGTAGATTGAATCTCGTGTAGACGGATGGCTTGGGATGGGCACTTCCGAAGGTGTATCAGGATGGATATAGAACTTGGCATCGGCAAAATGAGATTCTGCTTCTGTAAATGGTTTATGGTCTGCCACAACTGTTTGTACGCCATTCTTGTAGAATTTGAAGCACTGATGAAGAGTCGATGGAATGACACCATTACTATGTATCCAAGGCCTTCCTAACAACAAATTGTAGGACGTCTTTGCATCAATAACATGGAATAAGGTTTCAGCTTGGAGCTCGCCAATAATCATTTTTGCCCGAATCATGCCAATAGCTCTCTGTCCTCCTTGGTTAAAACCTTGAATAATAAGACGGCTACGAGATAACTCGTCGACTGTGATGCCAAGATTTTTCATTGTAAATTTTGGCATGAGATTCACCGCTGATCCACCATCAACAAGAATTCGAGTAACTCTTTGTTCCTTTATGTAACCGGAAACGAAAAGAGGACAATTATGGGGCTTCAAACCCAATTGAAGATCTTCGTCAGTAAAAATAATTGGTGCATAACATGAATCCAGCGTACCTCCAACTACTTCATTATCATCAGACTTTTCAATGATGGCAGCGTCCTTTGCATGATTCTCCACAGTCTGGGCTTCATCTTGATCCTTGTTATTCTCACCATCAGGGCTTGTTTTAGTTGAAACCATGTAAGTTGTCACAACTTCAGCATCTAGATATCCTTCTGGAAAGAACTATTGCAAAGTAATGGGCTTCTGGATCCTTGTGCTTATAGAGGCGTGTTTGGTTGACTGTGTCTTCTTGACCCATTTTCTGTTATGGCCAGACTACTTATAGTGATATTGAGGTTTCTTCTTCCTTTGCCCCCTGTTAGAATAACTAGTCTGAAAAATGTCAGCTTGTTGCTTCCGTGGTTTCTTTCTTGTCATCAGAGTCCATCCTTCTCCATTATCCTGAGGGAAGACCCTTCCAAAAGTTGAAACATCAAGTGCCCTTTGCCAAGAGAGATGGAGATTGGTTCCAATGAGCCAAACTGGATGGTTGTGCAATATACCTCAGAAGTTGAAAGTTGAGAATGAGCACTCCCCACGACAGAGGTTGTCACATTAGCAGTAGTATGATTTGAAGTTACAACTTCATCCGTGTCCAACAAGATTTTTTCTTGTTTTGCCAGGTTTATCACCACCTCCTTGAAGATAAAACACTTCTCAATTGGATGACTAACAATACGATGATATTTGCAGTATTTTGGATCGTTGACACGTCCCATCTCTTGAGGGCGTTTGCATTCAGGAAGTTCTATAACTTTACTTTCGAGTAAACATTCCAAGATGCCAGGGACATCGGAATCGGGGAAGGGGTATTCCTTCTTTTCTAACTCCTTTAGCGTAGGACGTTGTCTTTCCCTCTCTTGAAACTGGCGAGGCTTTTTATCATCCTTCTTGTCATCTTTAACAGATATCTTGATTGGGGTGGTTGAGATAGCCATGGAATCTTTAACAGCGGTCTTTGACGACTTATCGCCCTTCTTCCAGTCTTTCTTATCCTTGCGTGGTTCTATGGCCACGGGACTTTTGCCGTCATGGGATTTCATACTGATCTCCATATCATGGGCACGTGTTGCCAATTCTTCAAATGTGCGAGGTTTTATACCTTGCAGAATGTAAAGAAGGCCCCAATGCATTCCCTGCATACACATCTCCACAGCAGAGATTTCTGACAATCGGTCCTTGCAGTCAAGACTGAGTGCTCTCCACTGATTAATGTAGTCGATTACAGGATCATCCTTCCATTGCTTCGTGTTAGTTAACTCTATCATACTAACAGTACGACGAGTGCTATAGAACCTGTTCAAGAATTCTCGTTCCATTTGGTCCCAACTATCAATTGACTCTGACTTTAGGTTGGTGTACCACTCGAACGCGTTTCCTTTAAGGGAGCGAACAAACTGTTTAACTAGTAAGTCCCCCTCTATTCCGGCATTGTTGCAAGTTTCGACAAAATGGGCAATGTGTTGCTTGGGGTTACCTTTTCCGTCAAATTGCTGAATCTCCGGAGGTTGGTATCCTACATGCATCCTCATACTGTCGATTCTCCTTGTATAGGGCTTTGAGTACATGAGAGTGCTCTATGAGACGCCTCCATATTGGGCTCGGATTGTATTCGTTATCATATCTTGCAATTGTGCGACAGATAATGAAGAGACTGAAGAAGCATGATTGGTTTGACTAGCTGCCTGTTCAGTCACCGGCGTCTGGTTTTGATTAGCCACATGTTCTATGACCGGTGTCTGTTTAGGGTCCTCCATGCGAGTACCTTGTGCGGTAGAATTAAGATTCTCCGTCGGTATTGCTATGGAAGATGTAAGATTCCCAGACGGTGGTGGTGTGAAAGTTGCACGATTCCCAGTTGGCGGTGCTGTGGAAGATGTAGGATGCCCAGATTGTACTGGTGATTCACCGAAGGTCTGAACTTCTAATTTGTTCATCAGTGTAGCGATTTGTAAGTCCTTTTCTTCAACAGTCTTTGTGAGGTTCTCAATGGCACGAGACATAGTTGCTAGTTGTTCCTCCATTGTGGCAGCTCCAGTCATCATAGCAACGACCACATCTGAGTATGATAGGCCTTGAGAGTCAACGTTTCTTTAAGTGATTGAATACTCTGAAGTCTGACGTGGTGACTCTGGGGGTGAACCGACACTAGAGCGAGCATCATGGATGGAATGAGGTGAATCTGGTGGCGGAATCTCCTCTGGAACAACGTCAGGGTTCTTGACATGTTGGGTTTTTACGTTTGCCGGCTTTACAGGATTGGTTTTCACCAAGTCTTGCTGATGTTTGGATGAAGCCATCGCTTAGGACTTGTTTCGTGTCACAGGGCCTGCCAAGGTACTTCCATCACTTGATTTGGTCTTCGTGCCACTTTTCATGGTGGCTTTGGCGTTGACCTTTGCGGTAACGATGTTCTTTTGGGCTTTTTTCTCTGTCGGAGTCTTAGGGGGAGCCATAGAGTTGGATAGAGAAGAAACTTGCTGATAGGAGAAAGAGATGAGAGGCAAAGGAAGTCCCACCGGGCGTGCCAGAAATTTGTACACACAAATTTTGTAAGTCTGCAATAGAAACAAAATATGGAGCAAATAATATAATTTTATTAATTTGAGAAATTGAGGTACAATCATCTGTAATGTTCTTTAAAAAAGAAAGAACTGGTCCTCTGATTAAATCTCATTTTTTTTGTTGGTTGGTTGGATCCAAGGCCTGTACAAGCTTGATCTTGAATCACCGCGGAATTTGGATGACGAACGGCACGACTTTGGATGTGCTTATTGTCGATCACCGTGGAATTTGATGAAGACCGGCACGATTTGATGTGATTAGTGTTCTTCGCCTTTAGGTTTGGTTGTTGGGAATGAGAGTTTTTGTATTTCTCTCTGTAATTTTGGATTTCTGAATTATGAATTCGTGTACTCCTTCTTCTTCCTCCGGGCCTCTATTTATAGGCTTCTTGGATCCATAGGATGATGACATGTGTCATCTCCCGATAAGGATAACATAATAACTGGGCCAGGCCGGTTATATTATAATAATTATCCTTAAAATTAATTATTCTAAATATATTTTATTAGGAATAATTACTTTTATATTTAACCATCTGGGCTACACTAATTAAATAATTTAAGTAAATTAAATTTAAACTAATTAAATAACTTAATTAAACATTATGCCCATATTTAATGGGTCCATTCGTCTAAATCAAAGCCCACTGCCTACAACAAATGAACATGTGAAAAAGTGTAGAAAAGTCTAATTAGCAGATCAATAACGCATTGATGTTAGTAGGGAAAGTTAGAAGAAAGAAAGAAAAGCTTCATCCATGTATAATTTTTTATTTTTAGTCATGCCTCTTATTGGAGTTCTTATATGTTGGGAATCAATTTGCTGAAACATACGGCACTTTAGTTTATGTATGCATATATATGCACATCAATATTTGAGTTTGTGTTAATGTTTAATGCGTTGATTTGATGATGAAAGCTAGGAGTCTTTTTATTTATTTTTGGTCATTTAATATTAATTTGATGATGAAAGCTACTAGTCTTTTTATTTATTTTTGGTCATTTAATATTAATTTTTTCCCTTGAAGTTTGATTTCGAGTAAAATTTGGTTGGGTATTAGGATTTGATTCTCAATCTATAATGTCTAATATTTTGGTTTGATTTTTGTATTCATCTTCCCATGAATCTGATGTTGGTGAATCAAAATTGGTTAGGGTTTTAATAGTTACAGTTCATTGTAGATTTATAACTGTGTAGATATGGGTGATTTTTTTTAGGTTTTTTTTGCCAAATGGATGAAGTCGAGGTTGAGGTTGAGGTTGATAAGCTGTTATGGTTCGAATGCGCTGGGAAGATGGTGCTATTGCCATGCGTGGGTTCATACGTTTACTATTTTGCTCAGGACACGCTGAGCATTTGGGCGCTGAGAGTCGTAGGATAGCTCCAGCCATGATCCCTTGCAGAGTTTCCAATATTTTAAGTGATATCTTGAGTCCTCACTACATTTCTGCGCTTTTTTGCAATTCCTACTGATATAAGACCATCATTCTCACCCTTCCTGCACACGATTACATCATCTTTATGAAGTTTTTTTTAGTGTTCACAAATTCTTTCCAGTTTTTACTTAAATAAACTATGACGGTGAAGGGAAAATGAGTATTAAGGATGTCGACTTTAGTAAAAATTTTAATTTGTAACTTCAAAATTATAGTCACCAGCATTGTATTAGTCATATCTTCCCAAAATTAACCCCCGGAGACCTCCCAGCTCATACACGCACGATATATCCATGGTATACCTTGGGAGGTCTCCAGGGGTTTATTTAAGTAAAAACTGGAAAGAATTTGTGAACACGAAAACCACTTCATAAATATGATGTAATCCTGCTTAGGAGGGGTGAGAATGATGTCTTATATCAGTAGGAATCGCAAAAAAGGCAAAAGTATAGTGAGGACTTGACATATTACTGAAGGAGTCACCAAGGCTGTCTGCAGGCAACCATTCGATGCTGTTTGTTACCCAAGATCTTTGAGTCCACTTTATTGTGTGCCGGTCTTACTTGTAACCGCAACATTGAATATTGATTGGCAGTCGGGGATGAGGTTTAGAATGCACTTTGAATCCGAGGATTCTACAGATATTTAACGGTTCGAGGGGACTGTGGCCTATCCTAATCCCAGGCGGCATTCACTCTGGAAGCTTTTGAAGGTGATTCAAGTCAAATAAAACGTCTATTTTTATTCTGTGTTCTTTTAATATGCATCTTAATTAGTTGTTTTCGCTTAAGAAAAATAAGTTTGTTAGCTGTTATGTTGAATTGACCGGTTGTAAAGGTTACATGGGATAATCCCATCCGGAAAGAAGAATTTGTAAATCCATGGGAGGTTGCATCAATCTGGCACTTCCATCACCACAAGGGCCAGAGAATTCTAAGAAATCTGATAAGTCCACCCAAGCTTTTTGGCGTAAAACTTTATTCCGAGGAGAAAATTTTGCAAAGTCGATCAAAAAGGTTAGGGTTGCTTTAGTAGTAAGGGATTAGTAACTTTATTCACTGAGTATTATACTACTTATTAGATAGACATTATAAACTGTTTACCAGGCAATTAAAATCAATCTGACCTTCCCATCCTTAAGGAGGAGGGGAGGGGTTCGAGCCCAGTTGTGGGCAATATTGTGTGTGAGTGTGATTCTTACCAAAGTAAAATAATAATAATAATAATAATAATAATAATAAAACCAATCTGATTTCAATGACCCTGACAATTATGGACCATAACAGAGATGTCCAATTTTGTGAAAAGAGTGTTTAATGGACTCATGCATGCATGTGGTGTGCATCTCTCTCTCACATTTTATTTATTTATTTTTTAGGGTGATTTCTCTTCAGTAATTGTGTTTAAATATTTCTGCTGAGCACCTTTCATTATCAAAGCAGTACCTGTATCTTACTGCAAATTTTCTGTTCTTTGACAAGAATTAGGTTTTATGATACATATGCATATTTATTCACCATTTAGGTTCACATTCGTCTATAGTATTATTGTGTGGGTGTGTCTAGACACCATTTCCTATCTTGTTATTTGTGTGCACAAGTGTTTGTAGAGAAGGATATGTGTGCACATCCTGGCTATATTGGAGGAATGTGTGTACATTGCGGCAAAAAGATGGATGATGGTTCTGGTGTGCCATTGGGATATATACACAAGGTCATCTTTTTTGAATTTTAGTCATGGAATTGTGATTTTTCTAATTTTCTAATTTTATATTGTTCTTTTATTTCACAAATTGGAAAAGTAAGTGGATTTTCTTCTTTGATTCAGTGTGTTGAGAAAATGATGTACACGGGCCAGAGAATTCTAAGAACTCTGATAGTCCACCCAAGCTTTTTGGCGTAAAAGTGTGAAACTATATTATGATGAGAGAATTTTGCATTGGTCAAGGCTACCGAAGGCAAGAAGGTAAGGGTAATCATAACTTGGAGGAAAAACAATGTGTCACCTTTTGCTTTAGTAATAAGGGATTAGTAACTTTATTTACTGAGTATCATACTGCTGCTTATTTAGACATTATAAACTGTCTACAATGCAGTTAAAATCAATCTGGCCTTCCCGTCCTCAAAGAGGAGGGGAGGGGCCCAGTTGTGGGCAATAAAGTGTGTGTGAGTGGGCATGTGAGTGTGTTTCTTGCCAAAGTAAAATAATAATAATAATAATTAAAAAAAAAAAAAAAAAAAAAAACCAATCTGATTTCATTGACCCTGACAATTATGGACCATAACAGAGATGGCGAATTTTTTGGAAAGAGTGTTTAATGGATGCTTAATGGACTCAAGCATGCAAGTGGTGTGCATCTCTCTCACTTTTTTTTTTACGTTGATTTGTCTTCAGTAATTGTGTTTAAATATTTCTGCAGAGCACATTTCATTATCCAAACAGTACCTGTATCTTTCTGTAATTTTCTGTTCTTTGACAAGAATTAGGTTTTATGATACATCTGCATATATGCACCATTTAGGTTCACATTCGTCTATAGTGTTATTGTGTGGGTGTGTCTGGACACCATTTCCTAACTTCTTGTTTGTGTGCAGAAGTGGTTGTAGAGAAGGATATGTGTGCACATCCTGGCTATATTGGAGGAATGTGCGTACATTGCAACAAAAAGATGCATGATGGTTCTGGTGTGCCATTGGGATATATACACAAGGTCATCTTATTTGAATTTTAGTCATGGAGTTACGATTTATTCTAATTTTATATAGTTCTTTTATTTCGCCAATTGGAAAAGAATAAGTGGATTTTCTTCTTTGATTCAGTATGTTGAGAAAATGATGTACTTTCAATCAGCAATGACATATTAAAAAATGCTATAGATCTTCATTTTGAACATCCTAAATTATTTTTGCTATTTAAAAAGGAGAGCTTCAAATCAGCTTTTAGAGATTTCAGGACATCCATCTAAACATACATATTACTCCATAGCTGTTCTCTCTTGATTTAATTTGTGTTTGTATATAAGTGCATTTCTATTTGCAGAATTTAAGGCTCACTGAGGATGAAAAAGCTCTATTATGCAATCTATTACGCAACAGAGACTTCAAGAATTTATTACGTCATAAAAAGCTTTACTTGATGCCAAGGGCGGATTTGCCCACCCCAATTATTTTTTTTATTTTTTATTTTTATATATTTTATATTCTAGGCAATTTTAGCCCAGCCCAAAAAAAAGAAAAAGTATTACTAGTATTAGCCCACCTAAAGAAATATTAGCCCATCCCATTGACAATTCCTGGATCCGCCCACCAGAGCCCACCCCAAAATTTATTTATTTATTTTTTATTATGGGCAATTTTAGCCCAGCCCAAAAAAAGAAAAAGTATTACTAGTATTAGCCCACCCAAAGAAATATTAACCCATCCCATTGACAATTCCTGGATCTGCCCTTGCTTGGTGCTTGATTTAGATCACATACTGCGTAATTCAACTAGTTTCCTAGATGTAACACCCGAAGAAGAATATTTAAAGAGCCAGAGCGATTCTTTGCAAGGTATGATTTATTTATGTGTTATGTGCTTTTGCTTTAGTAGTAAGATTTGTGAGGCTTTATTCACTGAATATTGTATTGCTAAAATTATGGTGTCTTCATAATCTTCTATAGACATTATACACCGTCTACCAAGGCATGGTTTCGTGAAAGATTATAATCTTTTGTGAATGGAAACTTTTTAGAATATTCTTGGATAATCTTTCTGTTTTGCCTATAGCATTTAAGTTTTAACAAAATTCAGGAAGAAGTGAAAAAAATGTAGTATGTCATTGTGCTAGAGTCACGTGGATATAGTATTGGGAAGTGGTATTTTCCTCAAATCTCATAATAGAATGGATAATGTGATCTTCTGAAACATTTGTTGTGTTGTTGAGTACTAACTGGGAAATGTAGTTACATTGGGGCTACAAATTCTCCTAGCTTGGTTTTCACTTAGTAGTCTCTCTTAAACTAAAGTTCAAATTTAAAATGACTAATCTTATCATCAATTTCCTGATTTTTCACTTTTCAACTAAGCTAATTATTATGTCCTTGTGAATCAATTCTGGTTCTTGGATTCTTACTCAGTATTTCATATTATTCATGTTCATCGTAATTACTTATTATCTCACAATTTTGACTCTGTACATGTTTTTATTTTTATTTTTTTTATGGAATTCAATATGTAAATTGGGTGATGTTTCAAAAGGTAGCCTATTCAGTTTAGACTTCATGCACATGTTGACCAAGTTGCGGCCTTTTGTTCGCACATTTGTAAAAGAAGCAAGCAACTTATTTGTGATGTACATTTGCACAATGGGTGAGCAGTCATATGCAATGGAAATGGCAAAGCTGCTTGACCCTGAAAAGTTGTATTTTTACTCTAGAGTCATTGCAAAAGAAAATTGCACACGGATGCATCAGAAAGGTCTTGATGTGGTGCTCGGTCCAGAAAGTGCCGTGCTGATCCTTGATGATACTGAGCAAGTAAATTTGTAATCAGCTAAACTTTATGTTTGCTTAAATATTTAGTTATTGGGTGGTTTATCATATCATGTGGTTCATGTTCATGCATTTGTAGTTATTAGCAGAGAATGTTGTGTTCGAATCTGGCTATTCACTTGGTCACTTGTCTGTTTATTGTGTTTGCCTGCAATTGTTCTTCCTGACAAAAGGATGCTATGAAATGCTTAAGCAAAGATAATTTGAGACGCCTTTTTTTTTTTTTTTTTTAAATTTAAAGGGACATGTAGTGCACATCTTTTTGTTGATTCCCACAATCAAGTTCGTAATGCAGTCACTATGTAATGTACCGAACCTAAGCTTCAGTTATGGTGGTTGGACGATGTAAAAAGTAATAGCGAACCCCGTAGCTACTTGTACTAGAAAGCAAGTTTAATCTGCTTGAGGCCAATCATTAAGTAAATAACTAAATACGGAGTATGTAGTTTTCCATGGAGAGATTATGCATGTCTGCCACCAAAAGGATTGTAATGTTGGCCCAGACAGTCAGTTATCCATTATGATTGGCAACAATATTCTTACTTTTAATATTTGATAATTTTACAGGCTTTTTGAAAATCGGATGATGCCTTTACACCTTTGGGAGTGTCGTGTATACAGAAGTTGGAAGTCATTGGTATTATAGTATTAACCGTTTGAAATTATTTTAGGAGTTATTTGCTGAGAAATTCCTATATCAGTCATCAGTTTTGAATTTGAAAGCTATCTTGATTTATTCACAACGTAACTTAACTGCCTTTTTGCAATGGTGGTTCAAGTTTTCCCCATATTCATTCTAGCAGTGCAACCTTATCAAATTTTAAATTGGTCAGAAATATTACTGAAGAGTAATATGGTAATGGATTGTGGGTGCTAAATGCAGTTGCAATCAAGAATACAGCTCATGAGCAGTGAAATGCCAAATGGCCATTGTACCTTTTAATCTTTTTACACCCTTTTAGAGAACATTATGGACGATGTAAGTTATATTAAGAATGAATTTGATTAGTTTTGGAGGAACTGAATTCGTGATTACTGAACATGCCAAGAAACTTTTTATTCATTTTATACCCTTAGGGTCTCTCCCCCCCTTCCCCCCCCGGCGGCGGGGGGCAAAGAACTACCATTATGTTCTTGGGGAGACTCAAATTCTCCACCTTTCACTTTAAAAGGAGAGAATATACCACTAGGACACAGGCTTTGGGAATGTATGTTACCAAACTATTTTGTCATTATAATTCATTTCATTAGTAATGTTTATCATCATACTTATCAAAAAAAAAATTAGTAATGTTTATCATCACATTTTAAATTTTGTTTTATTTAAAGGACCAATTTTGAAAATAAACTGCTGATACAAATTGATATTCCTTCCCTTTATCAGTCATAGCTCGAGGACTTTGACCTTCATTTATGAGAAAAACAAAAGAAGAATGGGAGTTTGACCTATTTGAAAGTGGATGCTCATTTTAAGTTTTTCTGGAATTTGTGTATTGGGTAATCAGTGGTCTGTACATTCTTTCATCAATGATAGTTAATACATATCTCCTCATTTTGTTCAATTCCATAATACATGGGAGCAGAATTCAACTGTTACTTTCTCCTTCAATGATTTTTAATCTGAATATCCTCATTTTATTTAATTCCTTACTACATAGGGGGAAATTAAATTATTACTTTCTTTGTAGGAATATTTGAAAAATGATCTAGGTTTGAATTTATCCTTAGAAGAAGAATTTGATTGGAAACCATGATGGAAAATCAATTCATATGGACCCGTTGAAACTAGAATCTTCTCTAAAAACTAAGCTTTAAGTTGTATTCAGTACACTCCATAGGATTCTTCAAGTAGTTTGGCATCCTTCCATATTACTTAAAGGCAACATCTGTTTCTATGGAGATCATTTCCTGCTTTTAAACTCATATTGTGGATGCTTACTCCCTGAAATAGGCAGGCGTGGTTGCTTGGTGAGTGATAAAAGCTCGGGCTGCAAGCATGAGAATTGCAGTTTCGACTCTAACAACAGCCATTTTGTACTAATAAAGGGAAAGTCTGGCTGTACCTCTGTCCACCCTCCTATTGCACTCGAAAATCAGTTCATATGGACCCATTGAAAATAGAATCTTCTTTAAAAACTAAAGCTGTGAGTTGTATTCAGTATACTCTATAGGATTCTTCAAGTAGTTTGGCATCCTTCCATATTGCTTGACGGTAAATCTGTTTCTATGGAGATCATTTCCTGCTTTTAAACTCATATTGTGGATGCTTACCTCCTTAAATAGGTAGGGGTGGTTGCTTAGTGAGTGATAAAAGCCCGGGCTGACTATAGCAGCAGCCATTTTGTTCTAACAAAGCCAAAGTCTGGCTGTACCTCAGTCCACCCGTCCGTTGCACTCGATTAACGGGGACTACTGGATAATGGTTCATTTTTACCTTTTCAAATGGCCTGAACTTCAGTGTACTGTATAGCTGATAAATTTTGTCCAATACTTTGGTGGACTTCTGTAAATGGCTGAATACTAGTCTACTGGATGGTTGCTAAAATTTTGTGGAAAGAATTGGGTGGAAATTTCCACCCCTAATCTATCTCTATATATATGTTTTGTTGATGCGATTTAAAAAACATTGTGTGTGTCTGGGTCTGGTAAATGAGATGTAGGTATTGTAATATGATAATGGTGGTCCCAGGTCAATGATTAGGGTGAAAGCCTAGGCAACCTTTGAGAAGTGAGAGTTCACTGATGGAGAAACTCTTGGAGAATCTCGTGGCCCTATACGTTTCTTCTTTTTGCTTGAATATTGTCCAAAATTTACGTCTCCCTAGCATCTGCAGACATTTAATCCTGGCATTGCTTAGTAACTGCAAACTACTCAGGCTGTGAGTTCAAGCCCTGACAGCAGCCTATTTGTGCAAATATCCTTAATTATCTGGGACCACAGTGGGTAATGACCTTTGTAAATACCATTGCGTTTCTACATGCATGTTATTTACTTTGGTAACACATTCATTTGGAGTCGATCTATACCATTTAGAAGCCTAAAAATATATGTCAGTGTCCTTTATTTTAGGTTTGGGTGAAGTCAGAATAAGTAGAATCTGTTACTGATGGACAGCTATCATTTCTTTGCTTCGAGTTCTCGACAATTTGGCTTCAATTGTAAGTCTCTTTCTGAGCTAAAAAGTGATGAAAGTGAGGTTGATGGAGCCCTTAGTACCGTTTTTAAAGTTCTCAGGTGCATCCACAGTATTTTCTTCGACCCGGTATGCCCTGTTTCTGCTTCTTTTATGATATTATAAAATGTTTTCTTCACTCACTTCTACTAATTGGGTTCTTCCTTGTAGGAACTTGGGGACAATCTTGAGAACAGAGACGCAAGGCAGGTAAATGAATCTTACAATGACTAGATTTGACCTCTTGTGTTTTATTTTTGTTACAATTATTTTTGGTCTGGTTTTGGATCAAGAGTTTCATCATATATTTCCAATTTGGTGCTTAGCTGATTTGGGAAAAGTCTTTGTTGTTGTTGTTGTTGTTGTTGATGCTGCTGCTGCTTATCTGATTGGGGGTGGGTTTGAATTTCATAGTGGTCTTTCGTTAGAATGCACATCTACATAAATGTATCAGCACGTGTGCCTGTACTTGCTCTTCATTGGAGCACAGCGCACTATCTAGTAGACTGTGTCTCTTGCCCCTATAGCTTCACCATGCGCTAATGTGCCACTTTGAGAGTATTGGAGCTTAATACTGACCATAGGGTGGGAGTGTAATTCAATGAGAATTTGTCACCCTTCATGGAAACTAAATTAAGGTTTAGCGGGCAGTTTCAGTTGTTGCAATATTGAATCCATTATTCCAACTGTTTCTGTAAGCTATTCCAACTATTCATTGTTGCAGTGACTCCCAACTGTTGGTGTTCTCCAAAATTTATTGGATTCTCAGAAATGTTATTTTATATTTTTATTGTTCATTTATTGGTTATTTTATGATTTTTCCAAAACTATCATAATTAATGAGCCATTTGCACGAGCACTTCATATCAGAATGTGTTCTTATTGTTCATTAATTCACCTTGCAAGAAAATTTTAGACTTGAAATAGATTATGGTTCCTGATAAAATGTTTAATGATTCCTGATAAGTGTTGAAAACAGTGCGGAAGGAAGTTCTAGAAATGTGTAAAGTTGTATTTAGTTGGGTTTTCCCAACTCAATTCCAGGCTGAAAATCACCCCCTCTGGAAGATGGCAGAGGAGTTGGGAGCCATAATCACCACAGAACTTGATCCTTCAGTGACACACGTGGTGTCTAAAGACTCTTGAACGGAGAAGTCCCGTTGGGCAGTGCAGGAGAAGAAGTTTCTGGTCCTTCTTCGGTGGATAGAAGCTTCACACTATTTGTGGCAAAGACAACCTGAAGAGAATTTCCTTGTCTAGCAGATGAAAAAATAGTTATGGTTCTCAATGATGTAGATGCAGTAAATACCTAAATGGGTGTAAAGTTGGTTTCTAAGTTTTTTTTATGGAGCTGCCAACTTAGAGAAATGTTGTGGCAATTTTGAATATCTGCTTAAATGCTTGTGGTCAAGTGTTACGAGGTTGGGACCTTGACAAGCCCCCTGACAGCCATGGGATGCTGTCAGCGTGCACTGGGGGTGCCTAATGGCATTTTCGTAAATATGGCGAAAAAGTGAAGCTTGGAGTTTTGGCTTGGGATCTTTATGGGGGGTACCTTGAGTCCATAGAAGATGGTTGGCGCAGACGGTACTCGATTTGGATGTCGTGCACTTTGAGACATTTATATGTGGGTGCAGATTAGTGGGCTTGGCATGGGCTAGGTTCACGAGGTTGGCTCAGATGTTGCTTAAAGCATGGACTACATAAGTCATGGCTTATGGTTACAGAAGACGGCTAAGTGGGCTCAGTTGGTTGGGGGAAGTTACTTATGGTTACAGAAGATGGCTAAGTGGGCTCAGCTGGCTGGGGGAAGTTACTTATGGTTACAGAAGATGGCTAAGTGGGCTCAGTTGGTTGGGGGAAGTTACTAACACTTCCCACTAGTGTGCATATATTACGGGTAGTGGGGGTGTGCTGAGTAACTTCCCAACTTCCCACTCATATGCATATATTATGGGGAGTGGGGGTGTGCTGAGTAACTTCCCATGCATATGGCACAGATCTGAGGGGACAACACACAGGTGGTTAGAGTCGGTTTCTTCCACTATGCTGATATATAGAAGGTGGCAAATAATGTGTAACTTCCTGTGGACAAGTGGCATGAGCAGAGCGTGCCAACAAGCTAGTAGTTGGGCTTGTCAACTACATATGTAGTGGTGACACACTTAGTGGGTGCCAACATGACCCTAGGTGGATGGGGGTGTCATCCACCACTTTAGTGGGTAGTTGTAGGTGGATGGGGGTGTTATCCACCACTTTAGTGGGCAGTTGTGGGCGGTTTTGAGAGTTTGCCTATATATTGCTAATGTGGGTTCTGTAGAGAGGGTAGATTGAGAGTGAGACACAGAGTTGTGTTGTGAGAGACTCTTGTATGCTTCTGCAGGTTGAGGCATTTCCTTATACTGTTTTGTGAATAATAGTAAAAGGTTGGAAGCCTTGTGCTTCTGTAAATTCGTGGGTGTTATTGTCTTTATATTCTTGCAACTATACTTGTGTGTAAAAGTGTTTTACTTGCTGTGTGTTATAGGCAGCAAGTGTGAGTTGGTTGGCTGAGCTAAGCTAGAAATTCAGAGAAAAGTTGTTCATATTTCTGGCTTAGTGCCATCACAGGGCCACTAGATTCGTGTTCAGTATTTTCCCCTATGACATCAGGGATAGTGATGAATGATTATTTTTCATACACAGTTTATCTGTTGTTATCATTGTTATTGTGAATTTCAAGTTGAACCATCTACAACTCCTTTTCTGATTTATTTCCTTCATGGTAGATAAACATATCTCAAAAGTTGGTTCACTGGGCTAGGGTTTAATATGCTACAGAGCGATTTTGTTAGGATAAGAATTGGTATAAGACATGAACGCCCATTGGGTCACAGACCAGGCCTCGATGAGCTAAATCGAGGACCAATGGGTCACAGTTCAGACCTGTCCTCAATGAGCTAAACCTAGGACCGAACCTAGATGGTTTGGGCTAGGTTTTAGCCCCAAAGAATACACACTTACTCTGCCCCGGATTTGAACCCTCAATAGAATTTTACTTTTATTATCCGAATAATTAGTGGGCTGTGATACTAGATCGGTTCTCACCCTCTCACCCGAATCCGAGGACAAAATATCTGTTTTACATTGGTTGAATAATTAATAGTCTTATTTTGGTCATGAGAGTCATTAATGTGTTGATGGTCATTGGTCGGTGGGCCTTTCGGGATGGGGGAGGCCTGTGGCACTTGATTGCATGGTGCCCTCGTGCTGGTGAACAGTAAAATGGATTTCAAAATAATTTCATTGAGGATGCGATTTTAAAGGTGCTTCACTTCTAACCAAGTATTGGTCACTTGAACCAATCAAGACTAGTCCCAATTCACAACAATGATGCTTAGGCTTTTATAAACGTGCCCAATTCACAACAATGATTTCTGTGAGGAATCCCGTATTATTTTATTTTTATTTATAAATGTGATTTGAAACGCCTGTACCCTTACATATATATAAAGCAGAAACCGTGAAATTGAATATAACCACCAAAAGACCGAACAAACTAATCCGGTCCGTTGTCAGTCACTGTTTTATCAGGATTTCACTTATATGAGTATATCTTTACCGAGTTTTGATATCGTTTGCCTATATAGGAGGTCTCACAAGGTAGCAGAAGGTGGGCAGTCGGTTGGGATCGAAAGGGCGTCCGTTTGAGATCTATCAAGAGAAATAATTTGTTGAGCGAATGGCTTCTAACTCGAAAAGGTGCCACCGGAATAATGCACAAAGACCGTCGTTGGCGGACCAAATCTCTGTCATAGTCACTGTCGCCGCCGCTGAAATCATTGGCGACAATGCCGACCTTGTGGCGGAGATCCTTCAGCGTCTGCCGGCGAAATCCCTCATTCGATTTAGGTCAGTCTCTAAAACATGGCTCTTTCTCATCTCCAGTTATAGTTTTTCTTTCCTTCATTGGCAACACCAACATCCACAATTCCATGATCCCAAAATCTCCGGCCTTTTCTTCAGCTCTAGATCCGAAACTGTATTCATCAAATTCATTCCTCTCATTCACTCTGACTTGATGAATCGATGTAATGGTTCTAATACTATTAATGGCGGAGAAGAAAACAAGCCACTTGCTGTATTTACTGATATGAATACTACTACAACCATAGAAGACTCTTGTAATGGTTTTCTACTCATCTGCTGTGAAAACAAGAATTATAATTATAATAATGGTTCCAGGAGGTCTTACCACGTTTACAATCCTACTACCAAGCAATTCTCTACTCTCCCCTACCCTTTTTCCAAGGCCTTCAGGTTTCCTGGTGTTGATGACCGCGCCACAATACCTGGTTACGTGGCGCCACCTCTGCAACATAGGCACGACTGGCCAGTGCTAACCTGGCGTGCCCACGGTGAATTAGGTATTCTCGAGCTACCAATCCAATAACCGAGATTACTGGCCGAGGAAGGGGTCGCTACCCTTCCTCTACCGCGGACGCGCCCCGCTCCAGTCAGATGGGCTCCTCCCCCCCCTGGCTCGCTCGAGGTTGCTCTTTCAAAGAGCAACCTCGACAAACCTGTTTACACATTTCCCTTCTTGGCAAAAAAGACCTCGGGATAGAACTGGGATGAGAACCTGCGAGGTCATGAAGGCAGGACCTCGAAAGGGGCCTATCCCCACTGAAGCACGGGAATCTGAAGACATGTGGATAGGTGGTTGAGATCTAAGAGGTTGCCTTAGTCCGAGGCTAGCACAAGGGGGAAAAGATACCCGGTACCTAAGCTCGAGCGATGAAGGATAAGAAACGCATTAATTACGAAAGACATTTGATAAGACCCGCATTAATTAGGGAGCGCCGTTACCTCCTTTGACCGGAGGGCAAAGCGCCGCGGCCCATCCATCAATGTCTCATCCGTCAGACGAAGAAGCCATCGAACCTTTGGATAAGAGCGGGCTCAGCCAAAGGACTAAAAGGCATTGACCGAGGAAGTAAACACTATGGGGTGTTGATCAGCCTTTAAAACAGGAAGAACCACCACATTAATACTTATCCTCTGACAAGCTCGAGTTTGCATGGTACCGAGGTCGGCCTTCCTTTTCTCAATCTCCGTACCTAGAGAATCCCTTGTGTTGCTTGGATCTCCACTTGGATACTGATCTCAGATCTCTTGGCATACGTGGAACGAACTCCTCATCCTGCTCACGAACTATCATCAACACTTGACGACTTTTTATATTTGGTTTTTGATCCTTTAAAATCACTTCACTACAAAGTTGTTTTGCTTCAGAGTGAACTAGAGAAGTGTGGGTACTAGTGTCAAATGCGTATTTATTCTTCAGAAACCAATGCCTAGTCTTCACCGCCCAATATTGTCGATCAGCATCCTTTTCCGGCAGCATTAAGTTTGAGCCTCAATAATGGAGTCTATTGCAATGGTTCCATTCATTGGATTTCCTTAAGCCCAGTCGAAAATTCCATATACTTTGATATTGATGTAGAAAGATTCTTCTCAATACCATCTCCACCATTTCAGATTGTTGCTCATAAATTCTTTCATTTTGGGAAGTCCAGAGGTCATTTGCATTTTATCGATTATTATGGTGCTACCGGATTTAATGTCAACGTTTCTGAGATGGAAAGTGATTACTCCAAGTGGACATTGAAGTGTCGGGTTGACCTTAACCCAATGGTGGTTGATCTTGCTTCAAAGGAGGAGGAGATGGTTGTCCGTGATGATACGGTCTCTGTGCTTAGTTTAATTCATGGAGAAGATGAAGGGGATGTGTTTTTGGTGCTATTTGTAGCCCCCAATATGATAATCTCGTACAACATGAAGGATAACACCTTTAAGAAGCTTGATGATGTAGCACGCCATCCTGTATCTTCTTTTCATGACCTTTCATGGTTTAAACACTCTAGTGTCCATCAATACGTTGAGACACTCTTTCCTGTTTGAGTATCACTTGGGTTGGGTTGGGTTGGGTGGTCACTATTTCAGTGTTTATTGTCCATCAATTTCATTCTATGGTTGTTTGTCTCCAGCTAATTTAGCACTTGGGTTATGACTATTTCAAATATTGTAATTTCAATTTCTATCTTAATATTTATGAAATTGATTGATTTATGGAGTTTGCAGTTATAATGACATGCTTAGAAAATCTTGTTATTTTTATACTATGCTCTTGGTATCGTACTGAAATTAAGTCTGCCTTTCAGTGTGTTGCTTCCTCGTAACAACACCAAGTGTGTTATATTTAAATTATTAGAAGACATGATATGCCCCAAATACTGCATTGTGAATTGATGAGCTGAAATTTATAAGATATATAAATCGAATTTGAAAGATGAATTCAAATGTATAAGATATATAAAAATGTGATTGAATAAAGCTCTTCCAATTTTATGCCTAAGTTGCACTAGTTGTCATTTTTTTATTTTTGTAATCAGTATCCCCTGTTCAAATGTTAATTTTGTTATGTATTTTACTCCTGTCCGTCCGTGTACACTACCAGAATTTTATGCTACACCGGCAGTTTTTCACCAGAAGTTCTAGAAGTGCCTGAATTAATGTTATTCTATAGTTTTGCCCTGCAGTTTAGAGTGCCCAACAAATAAAGCCGTATGTTTGGACAATCAAATATTATGTATTGCTTATGTCAAGGTCTTAGAGTTCTTACACAGAACCCTCTTGTACTCTCTTGGCAGGAGAAGATCTAGGGTGCTCTGAGCAGAACCCACTTTCTCATGTTGGTGCTCTTGCCTCTTAGATCGCGGTATGTTTGGGCAATCAAATCACTTCTTTGCTCTTTCCCAACTGATCAAATCAGTTCTTGGATCAACTACAACTTCGATATTCAATCGCGTGCATCAAGTATTGTTGGCTCAATCAGGTTTTCTACTCACTATCTCTCTCTATATGTGCACACACATACATATTATTGCCATGAGTTCTATGAATTCACTAAACTCATTTCAGTTTTAGCTTCATCAAGTTCATCTTTGAATCGTTAAGAAATTTGTGAAATCGTTCAGAAATTTGTAAAATAATTTTGAAATGATGAATAATATAGTGTGTAAACAGATAGCAAATTGTCGTTGCTTGCTAACCGTGTCCATTAATTCTATCTCCACCTTACTTTCCCTGTCTTAATTGTGTGTTGTTTCATTCTGTTGTTCAGATATTAATTAACTGAAGTTTTATTTTATTTTATTTTATTTTATATATTTATTATTATTTTTTAAGAGGTCTGTGTTTGATTTGGGTCTGAGTTCTGTAGAGTTTCTATCTTTTTCTCTTTCAACCAATTTTATATTTGATATGCACTTCCTGACTATATCTTGTGACTTTTGATCTTCCATCCTATACTAGCACTTTTTTTCTTTGTTTTTATCTTGATTGAAGTCATTAATGGCTGAAACAGTGAGTGATCTATCTTTTTTTCCCCCTATTAAGGAGCCACAACCGCAAAAGGAGGAGAGGAAGACCTCCCCATTACAAAACAATTAAAATACACCCGCTTCCAGAAATTGGCAAGCAGGGAGATTACCAAGAAATAATCTTGCAAAGGAAAAATGTAGCACCTTAACCACTTTACATTAACCAATTCAATCACAGTACTCGAGTCATTAAAAACTGAACATTCTCAAAACATTCTCACCAGCTTTTGCAGCTGAATAACTGAAGTGTCAGCTACATTCCAAATAATTTGAGTAGTAGTTTGCTGAGGATTAACAAAGACATTGTCACGAGGTTTCAAGTTCCTATACCATCACATATTCCAGAATGTTAAAGTGATAGTTAACTTTAAAAGCTTGCTGCATTCTGGTCCTGAACTGAGAAACGAGCGTTTCCACCAACTGATCATAGTTATTCACCCTGCTCCAATCCCAATTGAACAGATCAACCTACCACCTCTGTATAACTTGAGCAAAGCTACAATTAAAAAACATATGATCTCTTGAATCAGCATTCAACATGCAATGATGGCATATTGGAATAACACATATACCTCTTTGCTGCAAATTGTTCAAAGTAGGCAGCTTGTCTTGGATGGCCAAACAAGAGGTCACACTTGCCGTCAGTCTTCCACCATTCCAAACAATTCGGACCAGTACCTCTTGGGGGTTTCATTTCTATAGTATTTTCAGAAAGACTTAAAACTAGCTTGACCATATTTTCATCTAATGGAATCAAAGCCTTGATTGATAGGAACATAAGTAGTAAGATTCCAAATTTCTGTAACCTCGTTCACCATGAATTCTTGTGTAACTGATCTTAGCTCATCCCCAATCTGAAATTGGACGTTTGCTGACATAAATTCCCTGACCCCTTACGGAATCTTCCAGAAGGTGGAGTTATTATACATCAATGAACAAGATGAAATAGAATCATGCTTAAGGTAAAGATTCTTCAACCATGGAATCTGCTTTATACCCTTTCTTTGTCCCAAAATAAACTGCATTTGGCGTTGTCTATTTCTGCAACTCTTCTTAAACCAAACCCTCCTTCAGATTTTGCACAAGCAAGCTTACTGCGCACCAATAATGGATGATAGAATAGATCACAGATCTTATCAACTCAACCTTACCAGCAAGTGATAGATTAAGAGAGCTCCACCCATTGAGTTTTGCAGCAATCTTGTCGGTCTGAGCTTTACAATTCTTCTTTTTCAAGCCTTTATCAATCATAGGAAGCCCCAAATATTGAAGAGGCAAGGAACCTCAGTTTACCTTTGAGATTCTGCAGAGAAATTTTTTTCCTTCTAACTGTTTTATGCTTTGTTCGGTAGGAAGGAAGGAAGAGGTGTAGAGGAAAGATAGGAAGGAAGGAGCAAACTTCCTTCATTCCGTAGAGAGGAGGCAAGGAAAGAAAGGATAATAGGAGGGATGAGCCATCCTTCTTCCTCTACAAACTTTCATCCCTCCAAATATAGGCGGAAGAGGGGCAAGATGGCAAGTGGGACTATTATAGAAGTTTTTGATTATAATATTATCCTAAATTATACAAGTTTTAAATTACGATAGTATCCTCTATAAGTTATAATATTATAGATACTGATGGGTATAATGGTAAAAATAATTTAAATTTCTCTTTCTCCTTCTCTCCTAACGAATATAATAAATTGTGAGCTTATTCTCTTCTCTTCCATCCAACAGAACAAAAAGAGGGAAGGCCACAATCTCTTTTCTAGGGATGTCTCACCCATCCCTTTTTCTCTCCCTTCCATCCAATTTTTTTCTTTTCTACCGAACGAAGCATTAGAGAAGAAGACCTTACTTTTTTCAAAACTCACTTCCAGACCCGAGAGGGTTTTGAACTTATTGATATTCAAGATATATTTAGCTGACCTCACACTTGCTTTAGGAATCAGAAATAGATCATCTGCATACATCCTTAGTGTGAACCCCCCATTATTCCTTTCAGCCTGAACCATAGAGGAGAAGAATTCTGTAATATGTGTGAAAAGAAGGGGAGAGAAAGGGCAACCTTGCCTCAAACCCTTTTTCGGCTGAAATACCCTGCAGGAGTGCCATTTATTACCACAGGAAATTATGAGTTAGATATGCATTCTGTTATCCATTCAATCCATTTATTACCAAATCCAAAAGCTTTTAGAACATGAAACAAGTCCCAACAAACAGTCATATGCCTTTTTGACGTCTATTTTAAAGGCCATTGGCTGATGAAACTTTGTAGTCTGAAACCCTCTTATAATTTCTTTCACCATAATGGCATTTCTCATGGATTTTCCCGCCTTTCACAAAAGCTGATTGCTCACAACCTACAATTCTCCTTAGCACTGAACTCAACCTTGTATCCATTAGCTTAGCAGTAATCCTGTAAACTGTTAGAGCACAATGAGATTGGTCTGTAAGCAGCTTCAACACAATTGCTTGTTTTGGGAATGAGGCAGATAACAGCTTAGTATTTGAGAAGGAACATTCAACAGCATTTACCACATCATGTTCCACAATGCTCTGAACTTGTTGTAAGAATCTTGGTGGAAAACCCATCAGGCCTGGTCTCTTGCGAGGGCCTAATCTGTCACAACTGATTTGATTTCTTTAGCAGTGACTGACTCTCCAAATACTGAGCTTCTTTCAACGAAAGTTTAACACATAGGCATAAAAGTTGACTTGTGATCAAAAGTCAACTTGTACATAGTGGGTGTATTTAATCAAAAGTTGACTTGTGGTCCATAGCTTGCCACTTGTCAAAATGTGGTTGATTTCCCTTTTTGGTTGGTTTACCCTTTTGCCCATCTACAACTCTTGCAATGCCAACAAGGTTCCCAAAATATCTCCCCTATATATGTGCAAAAAGACCACAATGCCCATTACTTAAGATGGCAAAATCGGGAGAAGTTCTCGAGCCCGGAAATCGTCATGACTTCCGAAAATTTCTAAAAATGATCCCATCACCTCACATTGATTTAAAATAATTAAAAATACCTTTACAAAACCCTCGTTCAAGAAAATAACCTAAAAGGCCTTTGGGACCTGCATGGCACGCAAAACGAGGCGTGAGAAATAAATAAAATAAAATAAAAACAAAATCCAGAAAAATCCAAGGCATTAGAGTATATGTATGTATTGACTATATACTTATTACATGACCCACATTTATTTTTAGGTTTTTATTAGTTCCAGTTCTAGAGTTGAGTTCGTACTGAGCAGAGACATTTTTCATCACTCTTCTGAATTTATCGACATATGATACTACTTCATGTCTATACTGGTTTAGACTAATCATTTATTATTTAAGATTATTGATTTAATTATGGGTCCTTGATTATGGATTCCCAAGTTGTACACTTTGGAGATTAATTTGATTAAAGAATATTTGTTAATGAAAATTTTATTATTTATTAATTAGTTTTTCATTCACCCTATTTATTATTCATTTTTATTCATCTTTTTGTATTACGTGCTTGTTTACTATTGATTGACTTTTGATATTCCCAGTTTTCGGATATGGACTTGACCAACCTACACATGAAAATTGGGGGTATCACAGGTGACGTAGGAGTCCTCATCGAGGACGGCGTGGGTTTTGCTAGGGTTTTTTGCAGGTTGGGTTGAAGAAATGATGGTTAGGGTTTGTAAGAGTTTTTCAGAGAGAATGTGATGGTGAAGAGGTGTCGATGTGAGTGGCCTGAAGATAAAAGCATGGCGAGAGACAAAGAAGATATTTGTAAAGGTAGGGTTTTTGAAAGAGAAAGAGGGAGATTACAAAATTGCAAGACTGATCAGTGATGATCCCCAATATTATGGAGAAATTATGTATATACTATGCACACACACACACACACATATATATGCATATACCGTTCTACGACTGGAGGATGGTTGTGTGGATGGTAGTGGTGATGGTTTGTGGGATGGAGAGGAGAGATGAATGGTTGGTGGGATGATGGTTGGATGGTTCTAGTGATGGTTGTTGGGAAAAGAAGTGGAAAGAACAATGAATGTCGAATTAATCTTTTTGCGTCTTTGTGTGATTAAAATAGGATGTGTGTTCAATCAACTAAGTACAAATAAAATAAGCAATGAGAATCATCCATAAAGTGACAGCAAGATATATGTGGAAAAAACCCACAAAGAAATAAAATTCGAAGTCTGATTTCAATTTTTACTGTGCAACAATAATGGGGTATACAATTTTCTTCTCTATTCACCATTAGCGGAATACCGCCAAGGAAAAAAACCACAATGACCGGTGTTGGTAAATATATATGCTTCACGTGACATTTAAGATATAACAACCCTTGTACTAATATGTCATGAGATAATTAACAATATGTTAATAAATCATTAATTAAATATGCAACTCTATATTTAATTAAATATGCAAAATAAAGCAATAAAATAATAATAATATGTAAGGAATGAACCTGGACCGAGGCTAGTATTGGATACTATGTCTTTAAGACAGATTCGTCCCGCTATGGTGCTAACGGACTCAGTGACGTCTATCTCCCAGGATACAACGGTCTACATCCACCAGTAGCAGCACTACAAACTCGTGGATACGGCAAACTTCCTCCATGTAATACTCTTTCTGACTCAAAAATGCATCTATATACTATACAAATGCTGAATTGGGTGTAATCCGAACCAAATGGTTCGGACCAATCTTAATATGGCTCGATGAAATTGGATTAAGGTCTAAGTGGTTCGGACCACTTAACCTATGGTTTGAACCCACTTGGGTTGGGTTCAAGTCTAGAGAGGGAGATAGAAGAAAATGAAAATGAATAACTTGCAAATGATCCAAAGGGGGGTATTTATAGAAACAGAAATGTCTTTTCGGATAGGGTGTATCTCTTCGTTATTGGACACAACCATTGCAATAGGTTGCAATGGTTCACATGGTGTCTGTTCACCACTAAACACATCTATTCCAATAGGTTGCAATGGTTCACATGGTGTCTGTTCACCAATACACACATCCATTCCAATAGGTTGCAATGTGCCTTTTCGAGTGGGTGCAACCATGGGTTATGATGGTTCGGAAAAAGGTGTAACCCTTTGAAAAAATTAAAAAGTGGTTTTTTAATTTAAAAGGTGTAACCTTTTAGAAAAACTAAAAAGTAGTTTTTTTTTTTTTTAATTCAAAGAACCAACCACCCAAAAAATCAACCCATTTGTGAAACCCATTTAAATAAGCCCAGCCTAAAATTAGGCCCAATTCAAAATTCTAAAAAAAAATAATCTGGACTTTACAATTAGGCCCAAGCCCAAGCCTAAATCTTAAACTCAGTTTATTTAAATTTCAATTTGTTTTAACACTTCTCATATTTTGCATACCCATTTAAGCTTATCAAAACACCACACTTTGGAGCTAATTTTTCATTCACCCGGAAACGGATTTGAGAAAGTAAATATACTACGTTCATTTCCTTACGGAGAGAAATGCGCTCGTCTAGAGATTCGCAAAAATTATTAGCGGAATCTATTCCATATCTCATCTAAAATTTATGTTTTTAATGCTCCCGTTTCCAACAGTTTGATCTCAACTTTTATTATGCAAAAGTAATGGGGTACACAAGTTTATTCTTTAGTCACCACTAGAGAAATATAATCATCAAGACAAGTATGCTCTTGACCCACAACAATAATATATTCACCAACAAAGGTGGATTTCAACAATAAACTCAACAAGAAGGTTTTAATTATGAAAAAAAAAAAGGTTTAAATCGAAATAACGAGCACCGTCCGATCTTTCGGTCAAACTTTCTCTCTCTACCTTTCTATCTCTTGGGCGACCCACGGTGGGCGCGCACACACTGTTATGTGCTTTTTGTTCTTCTCTATCTTCACCGCTTCAGACGAGTAACCAAACCCATGCTTTGATTCATTGTAATAACTTGTGGGCTGGGCCCATTTATTCAATACTTCGTCAAACCCACGCGGGGCGGAGCAAGACCCAACAGGATGGTACTGGTGGGGATGGAGAGGAGGGAGGAATGAAGAAAAAAATAGAGAAAATTACACTAACATAGAGTTAGGAGTCTTAAATAATAAAATTGTCCATTTTAAAAGTTTATTTTTTACTTTAGTTAGATTAAGTAAAATATTTACATATGCATCAATAATTATTGGTCAAGTCTAAAATACCCTCCAAACTTTTATTCCAAAGTGCTAGTCCGTAAATTATTTTCCTTAAAGTACTTTCTTGATATAATTATTTACTTTAAAAAATTAGGAAAATAAGATATTTTCTTTAATTTTAAAACATATTGCTGCAACTTTATACTCCGTGTGTGTGTGTGTGTGTGTGTGTGTGTGTGTGTGTATATATATTATACACACACGAGAATTTATATAAACAATAAAAATTCATGTAAAAAATCCGGCAATTAAAGAATAGTTCCCAATAAAAAATAATAATTGAACTCTTTTATGCGAAGAATAAATCTTATTTGGTTTGATGTATGTCTTGAGATAATCATCATTTGACTCAATTTACACTTTTTTTTATATATAAATTAAAAAATAATTGTTGATGTACCATTTACTCAACAATCACTTAATTAGTTTCATGATTCCATCCCCCCGCGTGTGAGAGAATGATTCCATCTCCAGTGTGTGTGAGCAGCTAATTTAGTGTCTGTACTTAAAGTGTGTGTGTGTATATATATATATATTTTGTACAGGAAAGTTTTTGCATTTGCAAGGTTTATATTGGTATGAATTAGAAGATATGATTAAAGTTAGCACAAAATTTTTTCTCTATATATATATAAAACGAATTTTCACTAAATTATTTGTACATTTCTAAATTAACATTTGCAGGTTTGAACCAATATAAATTAGGAGATACGGTTAAAGTTAAGTACACAATTTCTTTTTACTATATATATATGTTATTATTTTTTATTTTTTATTTGGTAATATATACATCACATGCAAAAATATCCTCAAAGTTGAACATCAACTCAAAAATCTTGTCTTTCTAAATTTCTTGAATGAAAGAACTATTGATTTAGGAAGGATATATTTTGAAATAATAATTGGGCGGTATTTTGGACCTAAATAATAGTTTTCAATGCATATGTAATTATTTTGCTTAACTCAATCAAATTGAAAACTCAACTTTTAAAATAGGCTGATTTGTTATTTAGGACTCCTAAGTACTATTTAAGTGTAGTTTTCCCAAAAATATATATATATATATATATATATATATATATATTTGATAAGTGTTAGTGGGAAAAAAAGTCATTTGCTATTTTTAGATATTTTTGATCATTTTTTTATAATAATGAAGGTTGATAAATATATTCATTATAAAATGTGATAAAAAATGACAAAGTTCAGATTTATTTACACTTAGACCAAACCTCATTGGTTATTGTTACACTTGATTCTATCATGCTCAGTCCAGTAAAAAAATTGGGGCCCTAGCCCAAATACCGAAAGGCCTGGCCCAAATTAGTTATCCTATTACGCAAGCCTGCAAGAGTCGCAACAGAGGGGAGAGACAGAGAGAGGAGGAGGAGGAGAGAGAGATGCACCTTCTTTTTTTTTTTTTGATCTAGAGAGATGTACCTGAAGAAGCCGTTTTGGAGCGAGGGATTGAACTCGGAATCGCAGACTCAGTCACCGTCGGCGGTCGGAGAACTGGTGAACTCGCTCGACGACCAGAGACTATACAGAGAGGTAACACTCGCACTCCGAACTGGGCTCAGGGACGCACGTGCCGAGTTCTCGTTCCTCCGAGACCGTGGCCTTCGCAGCATTCTCAAATTTCTCCGATCCGTCGCCGGCTCCGATTCAACCATCAACCTCTTTTGCCACAGTCAATCCATTCCCGAGCTCCAAGGTACCCCTTTTTCCCCTTCCAATCTTCCTCTTCACTTCCTATGATCTGAATCTTACGTAAAACAGAAATCAATATATATATTTACACTCACACCCATATATATATGCGTGTGATCTTTTTTCACCACTTTGCGTTGTGGCTGGATCGGTTTGTTTGGTTTCTGAGAAATGGTGGAAAAGTTAAAAAAAAAAATTGTTAATTTTTTTCTTCCATTTTCTCATACGGTTTCTAATCATGTTACTGATAGGCCTAAATTGTCTTTTCTCCAATTTACTCTCTGGTTGTTTGCCGAGATAAATTGAGGAAACATAAAGAAATTAATTTTTTGAAATGGATGATATTATGTTCTGGTCTGAAAAATGCGAAATCGGTTCAAGCAAGGAATATAGTTTAGTAGGCTCAGTTGACTGGTGGGCGTTTTGTTCGTTGCCAAGTAATGAAAACTATTTGATTCAAACTATATTAATAGGAAATCCTGAATAGGAAAAAAAATGGGTGTAATGCGGTGTTGTTTTGATCTGTAACAGTTGTACCAGTTCTGTTTCAACATTCATTAAAAGAGCCAGAGGATCAGAGAGTTGCGAATTTGGATCATATATTCAGTGTCGAACCTATGAAAATAACTAGCCCTTCAACCGATGATGAAATTGCACTAGCTCTTCGAGTTTTGGAAGGATGTTGTCTTCTCCACACAGAAAGCACTGTTTTGGCCCATAATTACAAGGCAATACAGGTTTGTTTTTATATCTTGTCTGACCTCTCTCGTTTTGACATGCTTTTGTGACTATTAGAATGATGTAATATTGATTCAAAACCTATAAATTGCTGAGAATGATTCAAGAAAAGGATGAAATATTGAACTCTTAGTGCAAGCTGAAATTGGAACTGTGGAATATATCTTGTCCGAAAATTGACAACCCTAGGACTAATGTAACATGACACTCGATACAGAACTTGTGAATCCGTAGAAACTGTATGTTATGGAGTCCTGTTAAATTGATGAGTGAGTCTTGACACTTCCCACCCATTCAGCCACGTAAAATGTATCATGATCTTGATTCTATAGAAATCACATTGATGCACAAAATTTTAACCTTCACATTATGGGACTCTTGGTTGGAACCAAGCCTAATAGTAAAGAACTATAATTTATTTGCACAATGAAGAAAGGAGGGGGGAACTAAATGGATGATGGAAGCTACTGTGCTTAGTTGCGGTTGGATAGTTATCATTTATGCATTGTCAGCTTTAGATTGGATGAAACATATAATATTTTGTTTCTTGTCATAATAGAGAAATCTATGTTCTTCTAATTCAATTACTTCGGCTGCCTTTAAAAAATTGCATAAATTGCTTTGAGGAATTTATTCTTTCAACTTGTTGAAGTTTCCCTGCTGAAATTTAACTTGTTATAGCCATTTTTGAAATGTCAAATTAAGCAGTTTGCTGACATGCAGGTTTTGATGAATATATTATCAACTCGCGGGGTACTTGAGCAAGGTGCCTGTTTAGATGCCTTAATCTCATTAATGTTGGATTCCTCAGCCAATCAGCTGGTATGCTTTTTGATATTGATATAATGGATTTACAAATATAGTAAAATTTATCGGCTCCAAATTGTATGTTTTTTGTTTGGCTGCTAGTTATGTCAGTAGTCAGGGTTGTAAATGAGACGAGCTGTTCGCGAAATATGACACAGATTTATCTTGGACTTTATCTATGGATAAAAATGACACAGATTTACAGGAATATGATATTGTGTGTGTATATATATGTTATATATTTATATACTTGCGTGTTCACGAGCTCAAAACGAGCCTTTAAGTGAGCTTGTTTTTATTAAACAAACACTGTTCTGCTCGTCTTGTTTGTTTGTGAACACGACTGGCTCGTTTATTAAACAAACACTGTTCTGCTCGTCTTGTTTGTTTAAACGAACCAAGCTCAAACAAAATTCTTGGGCTCGTTTATTAAACAAACACTGTTCTGCTCGTCTTGTTTGTTTGTGAACAGAATTTTGTTTGAGCTTGGTTCGTTTAAACAAACAAGACGAGCAGAACAGTGTTTGTTTAATAAACGAGCCCAAGAATTTTGTTTGAGCTTGGTTCGTTTACTTGACAAACAAACAGAAACCGAGCCCGACAGCTCGGCTCATTTACAGCCCTAGATGCACTCAATTTATTTAGCTTAAATCATGATGGCATTGTGGACTTGCGTTTTAAGCGTCTTTTTTCCTAGATCTTATTTTTGATGTATTGGGTGTTTGTGACACAGCTCAGCTCATTCACAACCCTAGATGCACTCAATTGATTTAGTTTTAACTCTTGATATCATTGTGGACTTGCATATCACCATTTTTGTTCAATAAGATACCAAAGTGGATTCAAGCATCCTTTTTACTGGATTTTATTTTTTATGTATTGGGTGTTTATGACATAATTATATTTGATTTTTTAGTAATGAAGTCTAAGTAGATTTCTTCTGTTGACATGATATTGGTTAAATGTACCAGGATTTTGAGGCATGCAATGGTGTTGAGGAAGTTGCAGTTCTCATAAGAGACAAACAAGTGGATGAAAATCTAAGGTAGTTTTTTTTTTTTTTTTTTTTTTTCCCTCTCTCTGTTAAGGTAGTTTTTACTGCTGCCTGTTATATTTTTTTGGGGTAATCTTTGATCTGCCTCTCCTAGCACCCTTGATTAACGAGGACTAACCATCCAAAAGTAGTTCATGGATATATGTGTCTCAATTTAATTGGCCATCACATCCAAGTTATTTTTCCTGATTTTGACGTAAGCGGAAGCGATAAATTTGTTCACAAGGAACAGTTTACTTTGAATCCACAAAGTAGGTATTTTGAAGCCACAAAACGAAAAGATAAATCTGATAAATCTGATGTATTATTGATAATTGAATGAATAAAAGTTAATTCTATACTTTGTAGTACATGTATTTATAATAAAAGAAATCTTAACACTAAAAGAAACTAAAAACATAAAGAAACCTAATAGTAAATGGAAAATTAAACTAAAAATAAGCCTAAAAATAAAGTTTCTCTAAAACATCCGAAAAAATAGAATAAGAAACCTAATAAATAAAAAATACTACATCTAAAATTTTAGAGCAATCCGAGTTCGTTAAGGTCTTGAAGAAAAATCCCGAAATAATTAGCAAGCCTCGTATAACACAATAAAACGCGATTTCGGAATTCTGAACGAAAATTTTCAGCCGAAAACCAACATGGCCCATAAGTTAAAGCTAGTGGGTCTTTCTCAATGCATTGTTTCCACCCAAAAAACACTCCTCTTGGGTCGGAAATGGACTTGTCAAACTGCTTGTCGAACTATTCAGAATTCTGTCTTACATCAGTCCCCCTCTACTTCGAAAAAACTCGTCCTCGAGTTTGGTTGCGAATAACATTAAGTATTTTTTTTTATTAATTTTTTTTTTCCTAGTTGGTATTCACACACTTGTCTCTTCTGAGACTTGAACCGCTGACCTCCCTTTGGGAAGTAAGAGGCTGATATCGTTAGGCCACTGGTCCGTTGATAACATAAAGTATTGGCTACCACAAAATCATATTGTTTACTGCTATGATAGCCAATTTGAAACCCGAATTCATCAAAACTATCTTGGACATGCAATTTAAAACTTTCTTTGACCCCATCATCGATTAATTCTTGCAACTCAATTTCAACATCGAACTTCTTGTCACCGTCTTCTTCTTTTGTTATCTCAAATTCCTTAACTGCACCAACTTCAACAACAAGAGGTGAAACAACAAATTTTCCCTCGTGATCAATATCAATAAAATTACTTGTTGCTTCAATAAAATTCTTTTAATCTTCAGTCTTGTGATTTATTTATTCTTTCTCCTCTTCTACCAACTTGTGCAAAGGAATTGATGTTTTCACATCATTAACTTCTTTAATTACAATAGGTGAAGCATCAAAAATTTGTTCATGAACAAACTCTTGAGAAACATGGGTTGGTTCTACAAAAGTATCATTAAACTTGATGTGACTATCTCTATTGTAAAACTTATTTGAATAATCGACATACCGATTCTATTCCCAACAATCATGATACGATTGAAATTGGATCTCCTCATAGTAAGGTGGAAGAAAATTGGATTTTAAAAGGCGTTTCATCTTCAACCACGATCGTACTGGTGCCTTCCTTTGTCGTGCACGAGTGACCCGCAATTGATCCCACCAAACAGAAGCTCTTCCCTTCAATTTGTATGCAACAAGTGCCACTTTCTTATTCTCTGGAATCCCCATGTAATCAAAGAACCTTTCAAAATCTTCTAGCCAATCTAGAAAATCTTCAACATGAAAGAGACCATCAAAACTTGTAGGAGGAAAATTCCTAGAATCATAATCCCCATAATCATGATATCTTCGTGCATTTCTATAATTCCCAAACACCTTCTCTTCATAGGCTGACTGACTATGCGGAGGGTAGGGGTTGCGATTACGAACAGGACGAACACGATTTACGTCGTTATTACGAAACCTGTTGTTATCGCGTTATTCTGCTCCAACTCAAGCCTAGTAAGCATTGCTTGAATATCTTGCAACGTTTGCTGGGTTTTACGTTGACAGTCTTGAAATTCGACTTTAGAAAAAGCCACTCTCTATCGATTTGTCGCCAGCGAGGTTGCCACGAAAACGATCACCTGTCATCAGACCTGGAAAAGACAAGGCTCTGATACCAACTAACGTAAGCGGAAGCGATAAATTTGTTTACAAGGAACAATTTACTTTAAATCCACAAAACAAAGAGATAATTCAGATAAATCTGATGTATTATTGATAATTGAATGAATAAAAGTTAATTCTTTACTTTGCAGTACATGTATTTATAATAAAAGAAATCCTAACGCTAAAAAAAATCTAAAAACATAAAGAAACCTAATAGTAAAAGGAAAATTAAAATAAAAATAAGCCTAAAAATAAACTCTCTCTAAAAAATTTGAAAAAATAGAATAAGAAACCTAATAAATAAAAAATACTAAATCCAAAATCTTAGAGCAATCTGAGTTCATTAAGGCCTTGAATAAAAGTCCCGAAATAATTAGCAAGCCTCGTATAACAAAGTAAAAGGCGATTTCGGAGTCCTAAACGATGGTTTTAAGCCGAAAACTAACATGGCCCACAGGCTAAAGCTAATGAGTCTTTCTCAATGCATTGTTTCCACCCAAAAGACACTCTCGGGTCGGAAACGGACTTGTTAATTTGCTTGTCGAACTATTCAGAATTTTGTCCTACATCTAATTTGAACTTCATAACTTTTGGAAGATCCATATAAGTTTACATTCCTACAAATTGCTTGGCTAAATGACACATGATTGCAGCCTTTTAATCCCAACACTCTACCATCTCCATTTCTTTTTCCTCTTGGTCTTTTCCTAATCTATTTGATTAGCTAGTTTCCGTAAATTGAAATTGTTTGGTGTTCTGGACATAGTTTTACTTCTGTTGACTTTATGAGACAGACGTAATACATTGGTCCGTATTTCTGTCATGTTCAACATTTACTGTTAGGAAACTGATGTTTCTCCTCTGATCAGACTCAAGTGTGGAGAATTTTTGCTGCTACTCATTGGGCATGTGAATGGAAGAGAAAGGTCTACCGTAGCAACAATACACGATGACATAAGGCGGCTTCTGGGCGAGAAATCTGCCTCTTTGATATGGGCAGCCAGTCAGTTTGGCTCAACCCTTGATCCGGAGCAGAGACTAACAGCTCTGCACATCCAAGCACGCAGGGTTCTTGAGTCACTGGACTTTTATTGAGTACAAAATAATAGTGTTCCACCAAGCGTTGTTGTCACTCATATGTGCATTTCCAAAGAATTTAAACAGAAGTGCCTCATGTAGTTTTCACCTGCTCTTTTCTAGTAACTCAAACCTATCGGGTGGAAGTACTTGAGAAATCTAAACTGGAGGATTGTATTATTATGTGAATTGTACAAATATAATAGAGACTTGGAAATGTTATGATAGTCCTGTTTGCTTGCGTGATAGTTTGTTATTAGCCGGGACCATGTAATAATTTCTCATCTCATCTCTATCTTGAATCCAACTGTATCCTGGGTTCATGTGCATTCTTGTATGCTTGATTACCTGTTTGTTTTTTTAGCTAGATGGAACGATCTCCCTGCAGAGTTTGTTAGTTTGCCAACAGACATAATATGTGGTGTTCTCTATTTCTGATTCCATTTCTGCTGCAAATTATCCCAAAACAGCATTACCATAGACAACACCGTCTCCAAGCAACCAATTTCTAAATAAATTGGTAAGCGTCATAAAGCTGCCCTGTTAAAACACCATCAACTGAAGAACTCTTATCACGTCTATATGAGAAGTTATCCCAAGGCAGCTTACATCCAACCCTCTTCAGACTCCATGGTATTTACTGCTTACTTACATTTAACCCTTTTTAGACTCTGCAATGACGAGAGCTTCGTGCATTGAGTTTGTCCTTATTTTTAAAATTAGGGTTAGAACCATAATTAGCCAGCAGTGGGTGCTTTACAATACCACATTTTGTATACATGTCCATTAGGTTTGCTCATTGTAGACATGCGAATCACATCCACATCTGATTGTACATGAATCTGCTTGCGCCATTCAACTGTTGCCAAACATGAGCAGGCAGGAAAATTGTCCTATCAACTATGTTGCTACATTCCATTCAATTATTTCATCAAAAGCCAACGGAGCAGCTTCTAGGTCATGGCATTTACTTCACCATATCTACCAAGAGTGATTTCATTCAAACTGAAATACTTGACACAACTAGACAATACTAAACAAAAAGGACCAATATGTTTCACATTATATGTTCTCATTAAAATCTCTGGTCAGTTTTCTTTCAGGCTTGTTTTATCTGCTTATAATGCAAGTGCCTCCTTCCTCAGACCCAAACTCATCTCCAAACAACTGGACCTCTCTGTGTCGGGGCGCGCGCTGCAGCCTTCCGTTTCCTGCTAACGCCTTGTGACCATATTTTTCCTTTTCAAATTATGTTTTCTGGATTGCAAATTGGCATAACGATCATCGTTTTGTTTTATTCCCCCAGAGTGTTTTTCCCTTTAATGTTGGATCTGTTCCATGTCAAGCATGGCTTGTCTGTCATTTTGATCATGTTCATGTTGCATTCATTCAACTGTTTGTTTTAATAGTATATCTGTTAGTGATGCTGATGGCCTTTTGGTCGTAATAGTGTGGTACACAACTCAACTTGCTTTCTCATCGTCCATCTGGAGCATGACAGTTTATAAATGTCATTTTCCATTGTTTTCTTTTTTCTTCGATAATCGGAATGTTCAGGGCTTTGTCCCGACTAATTCACGGAACTCATGTAAGAGTTCCCTTACACGGATAGAATAAAACTCAAATTATATCCGCGAGCGTGGTCCCTAAGGAATTGTTTGCATTTAGGAAGAATCGATCCCAAGACCTGATGTTTCACGACACACCAGGACTCAAGTTTTTTTTCAACTAGGCCAATCTCTTAAGTTATTTTCCATTGTGTTCTTTGATTTGGAATAGCTGCAACTTGGGCAATTCTGCGTCCTAATAATTTCTTTTTCGGTAAATTGTGCATCCTAATAAATTATTAGAGGCAATTCAAAAATAAGGATATATATACACACCCATTTCTATTATAATTGTGACGTTTCACATCACTTCCTAAATAATTTGAGGCAATTCAAAATTAAGGATATAAATACAAACCCATTACCATAATTGTGATGTCCCACATTGCGTGAAGAAGAAGTTGTTGGCACTTATACGCCTCCTTAGTATATAAATTGTATACGTGTTTTGAAGACCGTGAATGATAATAGTTGAGATCCAACCATAATTTGTTTTAAAAAAAAAACAAAATTTTATGGTTAAATTGAGTCTTGAGAGGTAAGTTCTATTGATAGTGACATTATGGAAAACAATAATATAATGCCGTTACATATTTAAGACATTTTCCAAAAGAAGTCATTTTAGGTGTGTCTAGTAGAAGAAGATCACCATCATTATCATTTAAGCAAGCTAAAGCTTTCTTTGCAAGCTTACTAAGTGTATGATCATAAACAATTTCTTCATGCAGCTTGTGAAAATAACATATATTCTAGACAATCCCAAGTGAATATGAAGTTGGTGGGTAACAATCCTACTAAGAAACCTTTTTAAGTCCTTAGATGGAAATTAATAGTGAAAACGATAAAAAAAAAAAAAAAAAAATCAAATTTTTACCATGCATTTAGTTACTTAGCATGAAAAAATATTAGAAAAATTACAGTTCGAATAACATGAAAGTTATAAAAAAATATAATGGTTTATGTGAATTGTACTTATTTTTATTAAATAGGTTAAAAGATCTAAATAAATGGTTTTGTGAGAGAATTAGAGGAAGATGGAGACTATTGTCCTATTCTTATCAAACGTTATAACAAACACATTTCATTTTAAAGTGATAAAAAAATGGGAATAATTATAAGTTTACATAACTTTATCAAGAAAGCAAAAATTTTCTTAATCTGGAAAGTTATTTTCTCACAAAAATTTTCTTTTCTAACTATTCAAACTCTTAAAATGTGTTTATTTATTTATAAATATCATTATTTCATTTGTTTTCTTACTATTTTTCCATCTAAGCAAAGGACCCTTAAATTGTGACCGACCTTAACTTGGAATGAAACTCAATACCTTTAAGGCTAATAGAGAAAGCTCATATCAAGGCAATGACTAGAGAACATGTAAACTATATAAGCTAGCTTCACTAAGAGGTAAAACTAGAGAACATGTAAACTATAAGCTAGCTTCACTAAGAGGTAAAAATCATAACAATAACTTGAATGTCCAAATCTAAAATTGATGCGGTAAAATGGATACTAACTTATCTTAGAACTATATAAATTCAACACCACCGTTGACAACTAACTCTCCCAAAACCTCTAATGTTTCATTTGGAGGTACCAAATTGGCATTTTTTAAATTAGAATTAGAGAAAATTTAATTCAAAATTTAAACTGAATTTCTTTTAATTTCAAATTTAAAACACCAATTCGAGACGGCTTCTTAATATAGAAGAGACTAATGCAAGGGTAAAAAAAATTCATAGAGAGATTAATGAAGGAGATGCCCAAGTAAAGTTTGGCAAGAAAAGGACCCGCCATTGTTGGGTGGTACATTCTCTATCTACCACTCAAAAACCTAGAGTTAGTGGTTAACACCAATATATATAGACTAAGTAGCTAGTAGTAGTGGTATATAATTATAAAAGCAGGAGGGTCTTTATCTAAGAGGATTTTGCTGAGTGGAGCAGATAATTCTTCAACACGGTTGCCGAGGGGAATGTTTTGTGGGTCCACCACAAGCTAAAGAGAGAATGGCTGCCAGTCTAGCTAGGGTTTCTATGTCTTTTATATAATACTATATCTATATATATATAATAGAGAAGGAATATGGCATGGAAGGAAAAGCAATGACCATTCATGGAAATGGGACACAAGTCCACACAATGTGAATGGATGGGTCACAAGAATTGAGTAGTGGTATAAAAATAAATCTTTTTAGGTGAGCTATTGGTTGAGACAGGTGAACTGGTTTTCAGTAAGATATTACTATTGACTTTATTAATTTCTAAATTATATATATAGATTCAAGTGTTTAGAAAAAGTAGAGCTTAATTAATTGTATTTAAATTAATATAATACATAAAATCATTCCCTAAAAGTGGTTTACCATGTGAAGTAGTATAAATCATCGATCATACCTAGCTACTTCTGCCTGGTTATTCTTAAATTGATCTCCAGATATCCCTACTTGCTTCATGAAGTTGCTTTAATGGCTGGAAGAATCTCAAGACAGAGATGGTGGTGATTAAGACACAATCCTGACCTGTTTGGCAAACAAAAAGAAAAGGAAAAAATAAAAAAAATAAAAAAAATAAAAAATAAAAAATAAAAAAGAGAAAAAGAAGCCGGCCTAGTGGAAAGGAATTGCAAGGCATCATTTCAACCACATTGGGTGAATTTAAGAAATGAAAAGAAAATTTACCAATAAACCCACCAAATCACTTCTAAAATTGAAATAAATTACAATGTTAATAAGTCTAATTAGTTACAAACATTCAACATATATATCACTAACTCTTGCCACCTCAAATCTGGAACATAATTAGTTTCAGCAACATAACATTAAAACAGACCTTAGGGTCAGGGTGCTGTTATAAAAGAAACATATGAACCAATAGACCATTGGGCCAAGAAAGGTCAGTTTGCTATTCTGCTACATGAAGCCCTGAAGAAACAAGATTAGGGTTTTTTTTTTTTTTTTTTTTTTTTTGGGACAATATCCCACATGCGTGACACTTTGATCCAGCCTAAAATAAGCTTAAAACATTCACATTGATAAAAGGGAAAAGAAAGCCAAGCAAAAAAAAAAAAAAAGAAAAGAAGGTAAAGAGTAGGAAAAGCCTAAAAAATGAAAGAGAAAAAGGAACTCATGTGCTGATGTACCCTATCTGTTAGTTCAAATCAAACTTCAAACAAGTCACCCATCATCTGAAAGAAAAAGAAGGATCATAAATGCCAAACTCTCCTTGTTTCTTCATCATCACTTTTTTTTTTTTTTCCTTTTATGATTACTTACCATGATCCTCCACCTAACATACCATTCCAGTAACCAGTAGACCCTCCCTGACCTCTGTTCTGGTCAAATTCACTTGTGTTTGAAACCTGCTTCAAGTCCTCAAATGGAAAAAACAGCCTTGAACTTGTAGTAGTGTCTTGAACCCCGGGTTGAAGACTTCCATACCCACTCTCAAACCCATCCAGAGAAAAATTAAGGGTTGGTTTGAATTCTGGCATAGGAAATCCAGATGAGTAGATTGTGTTGGCATCGGCGCCGACTGGCATCGGAACAAAAGAACTCAGCCCCCTTGAAGTAATTCCAGTGCTTTTGAGAAGTTCCATGGCTGATAGATGATGAGATGAAGTAGTAGAAGAGTTAGGGTTTTGATGGTGGGTGGTCTTATTGCCATTATTGTAGGGCAACTCAACAAAACCAGAGATGTTATTGTAATCACCACTAGTGGGTGGGTAAGCTAGGTTGAGGTCTTGGCCTTCATGGATTTTAGGGTTTTGAGAAGCAGACTGAGAGAAATTAGGGTTCAGATGATGATGAAGTTCAGGAAGCTTCTTTGATGATGAAGATGGTGATGATGAGGAAGTAGTTGAGGATCTCTTGTTCTTCCTTGAACCTCCTCCCACAGGAACATTCCTAAGAGATCCACCCTCAGTCCAGTACCTTCTACAAGTCTTGCAAAAGTATCTTGGCTGTGTCAGACTGTAATTGTTGTAGTAACAAAACTTGGTATTAGTAGAATTGCACCTTGGACAGTTCAAAGCTTGTTCTTTTTGTGGCCTTGGCTTCCTCTCTCCAGTACTACTCAGATTATTAGGCCTTGAGCCCTCCATGGGTGAGGGTTTCACCACCCCAATCCCCTGAAAAAGAAGAAAAACAAGGACAAGAGAAGGCCATGACTAGTTAACTAACTATATGAATATCCAAACACAAGAAGAATTAATTGTCACAGAAAATTTAATTTTATACATGGAGAGAAAACAAATAGCAAACAAACATGACACAGAAAACAAAGGAATTGGTTCACTCTCTTTGAGGAAAAGGATGAGAACAACAATAAAAACAAATTACAATAGCTTTTTTGGGTACCCTTTTTATCAGATGGTGGAAAGAGAAAGAGAATGAGAAAGAGAAAAAGTGCAGTACTTTCATGAACAAACAGAAAGATCTCAAAGACAGCAACACAAATTCAAAGATTAGTGGGGGGGTTGAAACAAACATCATCTCATAGAAAAAGTATTTACCTTTAAACTAGAAAATTTCAGAACCCCCAAAAAAATAAAAATAAAAAAGGTATTCTGAATTAGCCTTGAAAACCCCAACTCAAGAAAGCAGAAATCATGATTTCATTGAGAGAAAAAATGGTTTCTTTCTTTACCTGTGGCCACTGAGCAGCATCCATAGATCAAGAGGAGGTAAAAAGGAAAAGAAAAAAGCTATGGAGTCTTCAAAGAGAGGAAAATGACACACTTTGTTGCAGCTGGTCTTAAAGCAAGAAAGAAAGAAAGGCACTTTGAGAATATGGTATGTTTGGTGGTTCCATGTGTTGCCTTTACTATATGAATGAGAGAGAGGGTAATTTGGTCTACTAGGGTAATAATATTTTAATGCCATTAAGTTAGTATCCTCTAATTGAGAATGTTGTATATGTGTGTATAACTGTATAGACAGGTCCATTATATATCTATACATATATACATATTTTTCATTAGTCAATCATATTCTTTCCGAGTGGGATTGTGCTTGCGTCTGTGTACTGTGGACTGTAGTGGATTCTTTTCTGACTAGAGAATGAGTGTTGTCAGGATGATTCTTTTTTCTCTTGCTCTCTCTTTTCTATGTGTCTCTCTCTCTCTCTCTCCTGCTTTTTTTTCTTTCACTCTGCTTGGCAGGAGGAGTCTGATAGTCTGGTTTGGTTATGTTCCATGTCTATCTACACATATAACTGAATTTAGCCTATGTAATATATATCTATATATATTATGGAAAATGATACAATATATTTCATGATTTTATCATAGGTATGCCGTAATTAGTTTTGCTCCTAAGTTTTCCTTTTAGGAGCGGAAGAGAGAATTCTCACTGAAATTTTTTTTTGGGAGCAAATTTTCTTTTTCCTGAATCGTTCTTAGATTTCCTTTTAGAAGTTACGGGAGGCAACCATAGTCGCTTAGTTCTAAATTTTGGCTTAATCACAGTGTGTGTGGTGTAATTGGACAAGACTTGTCTACCCACCAGTGGGTAAGTCATCTCTATTCACTGCTGATGTGGTTGAATAACAAGTACACAAATAGTCTATAATTACAAAATTAAGAAAGTGATAAATAATGATAATAATTATAGACTAGTTGTGCACTTGTTATTAGACCACATCAGCGGTGAATAGAGATGACCTACTCAGCTATAAGTAAGCAAGTATTAACCTAATTCTTATGTATTGGTCTGAAAATATAATTCCAAAATTTAAGATTTTGTTTGTATCTCTTATTTGATGGGCTTTAATGTTGATCTAGAGGAAGGTTATGGAACTTTATATTTTGGAAAGATAAGATTGAGAAGAGAGTGACGCGGGTGGAGAAATACGACATAATATTTATAATTTGTGATACAGTTTTGAATATTTTTTCATCATATATATATATATATATGTATGTGTGTATGTCCATGATGCACTGACCTACAGTCTCATGAATTTTCATGGAACCTGAGGCAAGAGGTGACACTTGTACCTGAAAGGAAGGGATGGTGAAATTGTGAGTCTGCGTCTCTATGACTAAAAAATCTAATATTTTCTTCATTGATTTGGTTATGACTGATGATGGGTAGATAATTAGAGAATTGGCGTTTAAATATATAATTAATTAAGAACTCCATGTTATAATGTAATTTATATTATAAATTCAGATGAAATTATATTAAAATATAGGGAACTTAAGAGATAAATATATAATTAATTAAGAACTCCATGTTATATTGAAATTTTGTTTTCTCACAACAGTTTACTCTCTTAAAGTGAAAAAAACAAAAAAGTTCTAAAATTTGTACTATTGCACAGTAGTTTCTTTCTCTAATTTTTTTAAAAAAAACTTAAGATTTGTTTGATTTTTAAACTAAGAATAATTTTATGTTTTTAGAAAATAATTTCCAAATTTGTTGGTTGATTATCTTTTAAAAATTTCTTAAAATAGGATTAAAAAAACCAAATTTCAAAGAAAGCTCTATTGATCTGTCTCTTTTATGTTAAAAAAAAGCATGTCAAAGCTGGGCTTGACTGATTAAAAATGCTTCCAATAAAAAAGTAAAATAAAGACACTAAAAAGACTAGGTATGCATTCACATGAGATGTGGAGATAGCATAACTTTATGGAATGTGATTGCTAATCACTTTCGGTAGTTTGGTAGTAGTACAAAATATTAGGAGGACAATATACAGACAACAAACATAAGATTTAATTTGATATAGAAGACAAAAGTTTAGCAATTTCTAATGTTTCTTGGTTGTCAAGTAATAGTACCATAGTGATCGATATATATAGACCTTGGAGGCATATATCTATGCATTTCACTAATAATTCACGGCTCTTGAATATGACCTATATAAATTCCATGAAAATTCCATGAAACCACTCATCCTGAAACTGGAAGTACTTCCCCCTTTTCCATGAAAGAGGTGGAGAGTAAACTGTAGGTGGGCTCCACTAAAATATGGAGTGGGTTGGTAATGGCTAAAGTGTGAAAGTTCTGTGATGGAGACATTAAATTGATTGGAAAATACCCCAAGCTGAGACTCTCTGAATAGTGTGATCCAAGTCTGAAGGGAATATATATATATATATGTATGTATGTATGTATATCCAACGCACTTCTTTTTTATTTTTTTGATAGATGCAATCTTTTCTTGTCTTTTCCTTCTATTTATTAGTAGGATTTTGGCACACTAAAGTCATGGCACTTGCAGTTTATGTTGTAATTCCAAGTTTCGTTTCGAACCGTGGTCAGTGCGTTGAAAAAGTAAGTACACAAGGATTCCTCCTCTTCAATTCAACATATATATGTGTGTGTGTGTATATATATATATATCTCTTTTCTTTTCTTTTCCTATCCCCAAATCCTCCCATCCTGAAGGTTTTAGCTGAGTTAAGCCACTGGTTATAAGTGAAGCTATTTACATGAGTGAAGAGACATGTCGGTCGGAAAGGAGCCTAATCGGTTAGTGGCGGTGGCGGTGGCGGTGGCGGCTGAAAATGTAAGCGGCTTTGACATGAGAGTAGGAGGAATAAGTTACCCGGGGAGCACTGGGACCCACAAAAGCGAATAAGAGAGCGAAACGTGTCCTTTAAGAGTGAATATTTAGGTCGTGGAGTCAGTGTGGGTCCCATCCCATCTGAGGGTGGTGCATGTGTCCAGTTTTACCCGTCCAAGCATAAGGAATCGTCAGCGACCGTAGATTGATGAATGAACGGTTGTGGGGGTCTGGTCGACGACGTCACATGATGCCTTCTTATGAACGTGCCTCAACTTGGTGCTGGTGCATCACACGTCACTCATTTTTTTAACGACTCTGAACACTGTTTGGGTTTTGGCATTACAAATCAAGTTGGATTTCAATCCAATTTATGGTATAGTCCAATCCATTCTATTTTGTTAAATTCGTCTCACTTAAACATTTTAATAATTATGACCAATATTTAGTGGCTTAATTGTTATGCTCGTATTTGAAATAATAAATATATATATATATAAAATACAAAACTAATTTTACTTTCCACTTGACTTTCATTAAGATTTTTGACAATAATAATCAATAAATAAATATTTAAAGCACATATTTGAAGTATGAAACTTAAAATAAATTAAATTAAAACAAGAGAAATTGAACCAATGAATTCAATTAAACTTTTGGGGAAAAAAAAAAAAAAAAAAAAAAGATTTCAATTAAGCTTTTCTCTCTAAAGCACCGACAAGAAAGCACTGTAACCCTTTGACAAGATTAGATATGGCCTCCAATAATTTTTATTCTCTCTCTCTTGCCCAAGCGGGTAATTTAGAAAGGAGTCGCAGATAGAGATGATAACGGGACGGGGTGGGAATTCCATTCCCCATCTCCATGATTCCGTTCCTGATGAATTTTTTAATTCTCATTCCCACTTAAAATTTCGCCACCATTCCCATACCCGCCTTTGCCTCCGACTCCTTATCCCAGCCCCGGCCCCCGCCTCATAATTTTTTTTATTAAAAAAAAAAACATATTTTTTTTTTCTTATTTTCATATATATAATGAATCTAATTTAGTAATAAATTATTATATATATGAGTATATTAGTAACTTCACACTTAATCGGGGCGGGTTTATCCCATCCTCGCTCTCGTCCCGACAGGGATTCATAACTTGCTCCCATCCCCATTCCTGTTTAGCTAAAAGAATTCCCTTTCCTACTATAAGCAAGGCAGGACCTCGGCGGAAATGAGGAATTTGCCACTAGTGGCAGAATTGTTAGCAAAGTGTGCGTGTCCTTTCAAAAAAAAAAAAAAAGCAAATGCGTGTGTGCGTGTGTTATAGAGAAAGAGAGTGAAAGCACCAGAGAGTGGGCAACAATGCAGACTGGCACAACTCCGTTGCATGCCTCAATTATATGATTGCAATGGGTAGTAGGGATGTGATTTAATAGGAATAGACGACATTGGTGTCACGTCATCGGGTCCAAAAATATATTTTTTTTCCCTAAAAAAAAATGTCACTATTTAATACTAGTAATAACTATTAAGATAAATAATACTTGTAATTTCACAAAAGTTGTGTTTGACGTATAATTTGTAATTGTGGTATGAGTCGCGATAGTACTGTAAAAAAGTCGAACAAATATGTGTAAATCGGTCGATTCATGAATGTATGTAACAATATCGGACCTTTGAAAAAGAATTACGAACTGATTGTTATGATAAATTATAATTTGACGTAATATGCGGATAATTCGGCATATTCAAAAATTTATTTATTATTTTAAAGTTCAAAACGAGTGGTGGATAGATTTATTATTTAATTAAAATAAATAAATAAAATATTTATTTTTCTCATATTTTTCATGCTTAAAAACATGATGCAACACTAATTGGAAGCACATAAGACAAAGCTCACTAAGAACCAAACTGTTTTTACATTTATTTTTGTGATAATGGGTAGCATTGTAAATTTGTAAATAAACCGAATTGAAAAGTCATTCTTTGGATTCGATTCATTTATTAATGGACTCTTCATTTAATTTTGAATTAATTTTTTTTTTTATTTTAATTTCGATTTTAAGATCCTCATTAAATACTCTAGAAGACTCCAATAGAGCTTCAATTTCATCCCACGACGAGCTCATCAAACCGAGTTCGAGCGTTCATGCATGAAGGATCAACTCATTTGCAAATTCGGTCATCAGATTCTTACATGCACCACATAAATATTTATAAAGAAGAAAGATTAAAATGTTTCATTTCTGATTCCCACATTAACCAAATGACCTAACTTTCAACTTTTTAAAAGAGGGAACTACAATTTTAGTTAAAACTACCCTTTTCGTCTTTTCTTGGACGCATGTCTTAAAGGTTTCTTCTTTCACTTTCACATCTACGTGTGTTGGTGTGTGTGTATATAATATATGTATATAATATGTGCAGATAAGTCGTCAATAATAAACCCTAATAAAGTCATGGTAGCTACTGAATGTTGTTTGTTTCACGGCAAGGTGCATCCCATCATGCCAAATTTTAAAGTGAATATGTCGTACACCCTTTTCTTTTTATAGAAATGGGTGGAAGTCGTTTTCATTGTTTTAGTTAGCACCAGTGTCTACAATTACATTTATGTCTTTTTTATATACGTAGTGATAACTTTAATTAGATGTTAAAAAGTAAATACCATATTACTAAGTACCCAAACAAATTAAATCCATTTTGGTTTTACCAATACTCCAATTTCTAAACCACAATAGACAGGTCTCTACTTTGACAGTACTTTGACACTCTTATTATACTTTTGGTTGGTACAGTGGAAAGAAAAAAAGAAAAAAAGTACTACGTATAATATTAATTATGAAATAAAAAAATAAAAAATAAAAAATAAAAAAAAAGAGGCAAAAGAGAGGATAGTGTTTGCTTAAAAGGGAATGAAACCTAGAATCAATGGTTGAAGAGTTAGTGGAAGTTACAGACGTGATTAGAATCTAGGAGCATAAGGTAAGGGCATTTAAGGTTTGTCTATTTATGACTTAGATAATGCTGTCATACTTAAATATTTATGGTGTTTAATTGATTTATGAAGGGGAATAATAATATTAATCATATTTAGAAAAAGAAAAATTTTGAAATTATTTTAATAAATTTATCAACATACCTTTTTTCATATATATTTTTTTTTTTTTTGAAAAAAAAAAAAAAAAAAAGCCAAATTTGACATTGTCAAAGTTTTATTAAAAATACTAGTCTTTCTTTCCATTCCCTCTTATTTTTACCTCTTATTTTTAAGCGATTAACAAAACCAAATCATCAATTTTTTAATATATATCCCTCCATTTTCTCTTTTTCTTCCATTTCTTTACAACCAAACTGGCCTAAATTAAGCAAAACATCTATAATAAAAACACATTGTACATCCAAAAACTCTTATATACAAGTATTTCTCTAAATTACTGGAAAAAAAAAAAAAATATGGTATTCTTACATGACCCTACAAAGGAAATCTTCTTTGACCTTCGACAAAGGTATATAACGTATTTATAGTTTCGTAAGGCTTAACTAATAAAAGGAATTTACTTCTTGACAAAGGTACGACTTTTAGTCCTACACAGATGGACCCACCCACTAAGTAGAATTAACGTGTGGGGCCCACAAAATAATAAAGTTGATTTCAACTTTTGTCTATTGCAAACGAGCCTCAAGCTTGAAACTTCCAACCCATTAGCCTCTGTAAAGTGCTTGCCTACCAACAAATTTTAGTCAATCCAGTCAGTAATATAAAATAAAAAAGGTTAGTGCTTTGATGACCAAACTCCTCCAATTTATAATTGAAGCAATCACAGCAATTTGATCCATCCCTGCATTAAACAAAACAAACCATCTATTTGATCTAATTGTCGCATTATTTTATATAACACCAATAATTAATCATTATTGAATCAAAAGGGAAAATAAGATTGTCAAACATATTGGCATCAAGTCACTCATTTATTCGCTTGCAAACATTCATGAACTTCTGCACTGAATTAAGGTGTTGGGTTCCCTGTGATGAACAGAACACACACTTCAGCAGTGTTTCCTAGTAATAATAATATCGACAAGTTGTACCAAGTTTGAAGTGAGATTTCAATCGAAGCAAGTAAATAGGAGAACGAGAGTGGGTTTTGACGTAACAGTAAAGTTGCTCCATTTTGACCTGAAAGTCACGAATTCGAAACTGAAAACTGCCTATCCATACGGAGGCATGGAGGTACCAGACTTCGCAATGGCTGGAGTCTCATGCGGCTAAATACATAGCAGGAAACAAACAAAATTCTTGAAGTGAGGACTTATTTGACTTGGTAGAGGCATTAGTTGCAGAATTAAATGAGGGGTATTTGATACAATAATACGTGAAGGTGGGTTCAGGGCTCATGTTTCCCAAAGATGACCACTTACTCAAGGCGGGGCCCTAAGGAAGCCTCATCTCATCCATTCATAAGATGTCAAACCATAGCCACCACTTACCCCATAATGTGAGGGATGCATGTCTTATCCGATAGAGAGGCAAGAAATCAATAAACCATATACTGAATCATTTCTCTTTCCCTACATAATAATGTTCATTCACAAGATAAATGTGTTAAATGTCATGTTTGATGATATTCAATTTCTAGATAAGTGGTTAGTTGTTTCTAACATCTGACTAAAACACACCAAATCTAACGCCCAAGGTCCCAACAACTCCATTTCTCTCTATTACACTTGATGGATTCCTTGACAAGTGAAAGATGGGAGGTGAGTGGCACTTCTAGTGAAGGAGAATGCACAAGTTTTTCAAGGTGACACGTGTTCTCGCCAAACTCAGAATCACGTTGATTTCTGCATACTGACAACATGTCGGGACAGCAAGGATCGACTACTGACGTAGAAGATCCCATCAAACAGGATCATATCCCTCACAGTAACATTCCCTTAAAATTGCTTTAGAACATTCTACTTGGCAGAAAAAATTCGCCCACTATTCCAATGTGCAATGTCAAAAGAACATGTTATTGTAGGAAAGCGTAGACTCTCCTATAGTAATGCTATCCCTCAGCCAAATTGAAATGCTGTCAATAATATATGCCTTTATTGAAGGCACCCCAATCTGCTATCCACTTGTATTGCTAGTCATAAAAATGAACCTCATATTGCAAATGGACGTCATCTCTCTATTGCTCAACAAATGAAAGCTTGTAAACACTATCTATGCCCCCCTAGCCATTATTCTCAAGAAATGATTTTTGGTCCTCATTTACATACCTGATGTGTCCACGGATTTTGGTTAGGTGATTGCCACATGGCAAGCTTGTCATTCTCCAACATTTCAAGCACCAGAAGGATTCCTTTTAATATAGGAAAATGCTTTTAAGGTCAATGAATTGAAGTGAATGGCTTGACCGAACCGTTTTGATTGGTCATGAGTGCATACATGACCAATCAAAACAGTTCGGTCAAGCAACTCTATTTAACACTTTGGCATAAGTAGCACTACTCTCTAATTTATTAACTCGATAAAGAAAAAAAGTTTATGGATCTTCTCCACGGTCATGCTTGAAACTACTAGATCAGAAGATACCTGTGAATGCTCTGCACTGCCACAACTCCAAATTCTTGTCAAGCAAGCAGTTGGGTATCACATGAATCCATTTTCGGCATCAATGTAGCCTCCATTTTCGGCTTCTATGGGAAATTTCAGATTACCTGCAAGAATTCCTCAATGTTTAACTTCCAAATACAGTTGGATAACTATTATCAACAAGAGTAAAGGCATATTGGTACAAAATTAAAGTCCACCAATGACTTTGAGAAGTATATCATGTGAAGTTGACACTGTAAGGAGCATGATACAAAATGATGGAGGCAAGAATTTTAATGTCCAATGTCCCCACACTGTGGAAATCTTCTATCCAGAATATTGCTTAGGTTCACTATTTCTCAAGATAATAATGAATCAAGACTTGTTAATTTTATTTCTAGGAGTTTGTGTTGGGAGTGGGGGATTTGGTCAACACTTAGACATCAGCAGTACAATCAATAAAGTATTTGATTATATTTATACCTCAAGCAGCTGTTCATTTTTCACAAGACACTTTAATCCATGCTATATGTATATGTGCTTTGTATATTTTATCAGATAGATATTCACATATGAAGAGCTTGGCAGTTTGTGTGAGGAGCATCCTCTTCTCTTTCTGTGCTTAGTCTATTAAACCCTAATGTCAATAAAAACAAATTATAGATGATGTTACATTCTAATAGCACATATACACAAAAATTATGTTTCAAACTCTAAATTTTATAAACATGATAGCAATATATCAAGATCAATAATGAGAACAACACCTGATCCTTTTGTTGTTCATTCGCAATCTTTCTTTTCATCCAAGCTCGGAAACGGAGCGTTTGGTCCCAAAACTTCTTCTTTTTGAATATTGAACTATAGCAATCATCCCAACACGTTGTAAATGCTTTTCGCCAATCGTTTTTTTCTGTGTGAATGTTTTATAAGCCTAATGCTAACAATACAAACACAATCTTTTATACCAGAAAATATTTGTTCTGGTTTAACTTGTACCACATCCGTAGTTGGGTGATTGAGCAAGTAATACTCATATTACTAACATAGAGTATCGCAACCAGTCATACTCAAATTGCACGAGATCAAATAAATTATTAACTAAAGAATCTAAAATTCAGCACTGTCCTCTTTATTCATGACAGTTTTATGAGTTCAAATGTGATTTATTATTATTATTTTGGGTCTCAAATACCCTACGGCGCCATGTTCAATTTTTTTGTTAAGAGGTATGAAACATTAAGCATCACAAACCTTCTTTGAGAACAGCAAGTATTTTAAGCAAACAGTGTGCATCTGCAGCTGCATATGTATTTTGCTCCTGTAAGAGGTCGAAGTGAGCACTAACTACATTGAAATTCCTAACAGAATATTCAATTATGTTAAAAAATTACCAAAAAAAAAAAAAAAAAAAGAAAAGAAAAGAAAAGAAAAGAATTTTAATGCAATTCAATATCATGAAAATCATTAAATAAAAAAAAAAAAAACTAGGAACAATAATATGTCTGTAATACAGGAACTCAAACTCGGGCTAAACAGCCCAAATATACAAAAAAAATAGGTGTTTAGGAACCAAATGTTCAAACACTTGCTTGCAAATAGTGGCCGGAAGCTCTTAATTTTCTTTGGTATCTTTCTTCCTGGAGAATTTTGGGTCACTGTCAGTCCATTATATAATTTAATTACATTATAAAATAGTTCTATCATATATACATAACAAGTTGTATACCAACTAATCAAAGGGCTTTTCATGACTATATTCTCGTGTGATCAATCAAAGGCAAAAACATTAACACTACCATTTTGTTCCCAAGTAAACTACAAAAATTAAGAAAATATAATTTCTAACTTTTGTGTATGGCTGTTTTTTTTTTTTTCGGTGGGTTTCCAAGCAAAGAAGTATAAGATTGAAATTTTCACTATTTGTTTATTTTTCTACATTTTATCAGCAACCAAACAAACAAAGACCTACCTGATCGAAGCAGGATCGCACCGTAGAGGTTGATGGTGGGGAAAATGGACTCTGCGGGGATTCGGAGCCCAACTCAAGTGAGTCGACTCGGGCGAGCCGGTAGAAGAGACGAGTCACGAAGTCAAAATGGCAAATCCCTTTCGAGTTTCGATACCCAACAAACGGCAATTTCAGAGCTTAGGCCGGGCCTTTACTTGGGCTACGCATCTGCTGGGCATGGGCTTCAGCCCTGACATTTGTTAAATTAAAAATTGAAATTGAAATTTAATAGAATATCTCAGTTCAATACCACATGAACTTTTAAGCCCAAATATTCAAACTCAGCCCAAAAAACAAACCGAATGGAAGTTTTTTTTTTTTGGAACTCAGAACTCCTTTGGGCAAGATTTTTTGGACCCATCCCAAGTCACAAACCGAGAGTGCTGCAACAGGCCCCACAACGATAGCACTGATTAAATCAGGGATTATAATAGGAATGTTGGGGTTCGAAACCGGGACATATTGGAACCCAGCCCCTTACCTTACCACCATCACCAAGCCCTTGGGGGCACCGAATGGAAGTTGGAACTGAGAAAAAATATGACTTGCCAAGTTTGTTGCCTTTTAATTTAGGGGTTGTTTGGCATTTACTTTGTTTTTGTTGTTTTTGTTTCAGGTCCGCTACAGTAGCCCAAATGATGCTCAAAACATGTTTGGTTGGTTATGTTTTGTTTTGCACAGTTGTAAAACATTTTACTAAAGAGGCCTAAAACTTGAAACACCAAAATGGTGTTTTATCTTGTTTCAGCACTGTTTGGGCAAATTTTCACTGTAGCAGAAGAAACAGCCGGTCCAACTTGTTTTAGGTATATAAACATTTTAGGTCATTTTTGCACAAATTTTCTCTCTCCTCTCCCAATACTCTCTCTATTCTCGTTCTCGACTCTAAACTTGCCCTCTCTCTGTCTCTGCAACTGCAAACTACAAAATCTACAAGAATCAGAAGTTCAAAACCCATTTATTTCAGTTTATCTATTTGTCTGCAAGAATCAAAACCTATTGTTACCTATAAATAATGCCTCCATCTCTATTCTCATTCTCAGACCTGAACTTGCCCTCTCTCTCTCTCTCTACAACTAGGTCGAAAAGACTTGCAATGTCAACACGAAAAAATCGACTATGCAAAAAAGGGGGTTCATGAGAGAGAGGTTCCTAACAAAGCAACTACGCACATGCTTTTCAAAATTTCTTTGTACATGGGTTTTGAATCCGATGAGAGGAGGCGTTGTTTGGTTTAGAAAAATAAAAAATAAAAAATAAAATATTCTCACTCTCCCTCACTTACAGCTTCTGTTCCCAAAACCAGCAGCACATCTCAACACATGCACGCTCTCTCTCTTCTTTTACAGAATAATCACCAGGTTTAAACAGATCTTTATGTTCTCTGCATTTCTATTTCCCAACTAAACTTTTCTGATCCATCTATCAGAAAGCCATGAAAGTCTTATGCTTTCTTTGTCTTCTTCTTCAAACCAAACTCTGCTTCTCTTCCACAACCCAAATGCTGGTTTTGCCCCCTCAAAACCCAACTAATCCCATCCGGGTCCCTCTCAAGACCTCCAAACAAGCTTCCTTTCCACCACAATGTCACTCTCACCGTTTCTCTCTCAGTCGGCAAACCTCCAAACAAGCTTATTGCAAAAATTAAAATATATATATATGTATATATATTTGTGTGCCTAAACATGTTTTACATTTCTAACATTTTCATAGTAAAGCATAGTTCCCAAACGTGCTTTCGAATTTTTTTCCAAAACACTGTACAACAAGAACATTGTTTCTATTTTAGCCAAAAACAAAACACCAAAAACAAAACGCATGCCGAACGAGCCCTTATACTGTCAATTGTTGTTGGGCTTGTCTACAAGCTTATACTACCGCAAGGCACAAGTATGCATATTTTGATAGAGAGAATAGAGGTAACAGAAGCACAAAGACAAAATGGGTAGTGGGCTGAGGATGTAAGAAAAATAGTAGTCTATCAATAATTAAATAAATATATTGTTTATATATTCATATAAGAAAGGTTGCACCCTTAGAATGAATAGTTACGTATTAAGAGTTGTGTCGGTTGATGGAACCAACACATCTCTTCACGTATGAATGAAACGACCCCAACCCTCACTATATATATGCGTAATAGTCTTGGAGTCCATGATCCAGTTTTGCATACATAGGAGAGGGTTAAAGATCATTTCCGCTCTAGTGTTCTCTTCAAACATAGTTTCTATATCGGGTATGTCTCTTCTTTCAATTTATGCATTAGACCATGAATTCTATTTGTGTAGAAATTTGCTTACATATGGTATCAGAGCCAACATGGCTCTAGTGCATAAATTCTGAATATTTTACATATAATATATTCCTATGTGATTGTGTTTAGAAATTTCTAATAGAAAAGAACACTGGTTGAAGTGGGAAATACAAATTTTCATATACACATACGGTTCTAGATCTACTTTGGATAAATGTAAATAGCACACATTTATATATGATCTGTAATAGATGGAACAAAGAGCAATTATCTGAACATTATAATGTTTAAGTTTACACTGTGTCACCATGGGCAAAGACTTTATTCTATTTTGTTTCAATACATCTATATTATTTGTGTTACTACATACACACTGCATTTTTTATTTTTTTTTTATGGAGAAGGACACTAATACTTGTTAAGTACGACATATATATGATAATATATGTCATATAGATAAGAGAAGTATTAATTTTGAACTCAAGTTTATATTAAAATGAAATACATATTGAGTGTACTCCAAAAGTCACGACTTTTGAGAATTTTGATTGAAACTCAATAGCGATGATATATATATAGACTGAACATTTGTAACCCAAACTGAATTTTGGGCCCTACCAGAGTATAACAGTTGTTTTAAATTTGTGTTAATAATAATGTAACGTGAATGTCATTTTGGGTATCATGTCTCTACAAGAGTATACAGTTGTTTTAAGAATGTGTTGACAACCATGTAACGTGAATGTCATTTTGGGTATTTATACCTTTATAAAAGTGTCATCACAATTCTTAAAACAACTGTTATACTCTTGTAGAGACATGAATACCCAAATTGACATTCACGTTACATTGTTATCAAGACATTCTTAAAACAACTGTTATACTCTGGTAGGGCCCAAAATTCAGTTTGGGTTACAAATGTTCAGTCTATATATATATCATGGCTATTGAGTTTCAATGATCAAGCCCAAAGGTGGGTTATTGAATTTGTCCAACTAAGCGGATTGAGATAATTAATGTAGAAGACACAACTGATGACTCACTACGCCCAAAGGAGTATACATTGTTATTGTGTTTTCTATAATTAATTAGCTTCAAAGGTGAAAGTTATTTCACCGGTGGGAGACTAATATATGATAATTTTGGCCCAAAGGAAAGATTATTATATGTTATGTTGATCCGATTCAGAGTTAATTGTTTTGAGGCATGATTTAATTAACTCTGAAAAGTTTAGTTGATATTCCCATCAATTATACTGTAAATGTGTGGCTTTAGTTATTCTTAAAGTCAATGGGAGTAAAATTCATCTTTAGAGTTAAATGTGGATGACAGTGACATTATTGTACATGAGATTAAATAATTTAACTTCTTAAACATTTGAGATGAAGGTGTTGGTGAAGCCTTTTTATTGGCATTAAGTTTCACCTAAATAAATCTCGTGAAATTTTGGATTGTCACAATTAAAGAACCTACTTTGATAGAGTTCTGAAAGTATTTGACATATAACACTATAGAGGTAGAATTGTACTCATTATAAAAGTTGAGAAATTTGGTAATCTAATTACTAAGAAAATATCTATAGTAGTATTAGGTAAAAGACATTTTCTACGCCTTTGTGAACCTAATGTATGCTCAAGTTTTGCATATGGTTAACTATAATATAGCATTTGCTAGTTAAGCAGATATCACAGTGATCCTAGTTTGGATCTATAGTACGCGGCAAAGAAATTTATAAGGTATCTGCAAACAGTTAAGAACCATATCTTTATAGGAGTGATGAAAACTGACTTTACTGGTTGTCAGGACAATATACAAATTCATTTCAAGTATTGTTTTACTATTATGATAAGTGATAGAAGCGGAGTTTATTTGTATGTTAGAAGGCCACATTTCATGTTTTATAAAATATCAGTTTTGGACTTCAAGTTAATAATTCCGCTATAGTTTTTTGTCTTAAAGAAACAACAAGAGTTCAAGTTGGTCTAACAATATGACCGTTAATATCTTGTTGTAAAATAGAGGATACAGAATCAGGTAGTGTCTGATTGAGCACATTGATGCCCAACAAAAGATTGTCGATCCCATAACTAAAGGTTTGCCGCTAATGTTATATAGTAAGCATGCAAATTTCTCTTTAACAACATTAATTTACTTAGTTAATGGGAGGTTGTATTTGGCTCAGGTAAAGACAATTTTATTTTGTGATCACAGTTATTATCCTCATTTACTAGATTTTTCATATTAGTGCACATGTGTATGGAAAATTTGTGACTTAAGTGTCCAGTTTTGAGACACGATGTGTCCTTATTGAGACACGGTAGGACCGATGCATGGCATGAATATTGTATTGAATAGATGTACATGTAATATATATGTGACGTTGGAGTTGAGTTTGTTAGTATCAGTGACCGTTGGAGTCTTATATCATTGATGAAATAATGACAGCCTTGATCCCATATTAGTAGACTCGAAGGGACTCCAAAATTGAATTATAGAGGTGTTGCTTGTAAATATATGGATTAATTTCTAGAGTGAACTCATGATCATTTTGATCTTGAAGTGATCAGAATTAATTATTGTTAAACTAAGTGAGAGAATGTAAGAAAAATAGTAGTCTACCAATAATTAAATAAATATATTGTTTATATATTCATATAAGAAAGGTTGCACCCTTAGAATGAATAGTTACGTATTAAGAGTTGTGTCGGTTGATGGAACCAACACATCTCTTCACGTATGAATGAAACGGTCCCAACCCTCACTATATATATGCGTAATAGTCTTGGAGTCCATGATCCAGTTTTGCATACATAGGAGAGGGTTGAAGATCGTTTCCTGTGATACCCCTGAATTT